TCTGACTTGCATTTTCACTCCAATGCGCGCAGGAAGCTTTCACCGGGCAGTGACGGCAGTGACGTCTGTAACAAAAAGCTGTCCTCTGCCTCCCTCGAGGCTCCCGGCCTGGGCTCCCGCTTCCCAGAGGCAAACTCCAGCCTTGGGAGATAGGTCACCACCTTCGAGTGGTATTTTCTGCTGCAGCATCTCTCCTTCTTTTTCTCCCCGCCCCATCAAGATTTTACCCAGGACCTGTGGACTTCTTCCTGTTCTTGGCCTTGAAATGCGGCTTTTCCTAACTCCTTGCTCGCAGTCTCATTTTGGAGAACGTGAGCCTCTTTTGGTCTCGGGGGTTGCCCCTGCTCCTGCATTCTCTCCGCTTCTCCTGGTTTCTCCTCTGGTCCTCTTGGCCTGTGTCATGTCTGAGGGTTTGGTCTGGGGTTTCTTGGATTCCCTTAGTATTTAAGAGTGAAAGCCCTGGCTGGTGCAGCTCAGTGGATTGAGCGCAGGCCTGCGAACCACACGATCACGGTTCGATTCCCAGTCAGGGCACATGCCTGGGTTGCAGGCCAGTTCCCAGCAGGGGACTCACGAAAGGCAACCAAACATTGATGTTTCTCTCCCTCTCTCCTTCCCTTCCCCTCTAAAGATAAATAAATAAAATCTAAAAAAAAAAAAGAGTGAAGACCCCAAAAAGGCAAGCTGAAATTCTGTGGCGAGGTGTGGGCTCGTAGACCACAGCCTCACTGAGGTGCATTTAAGTCTGTGGAGTCTCTCAAAGCAGCTAGATATCCATGTATTTTAACATCGTATGTTCTCTGCGTGTCGAAACCTCTGAAGTGATCTTCTGCAGGGAAGCAAAAATGGCTTTACCCATAGGATTCTGGGCGTAATGACAGTACACCAATGTGCTCACATAAAAAGAGTAAGAAGAGCCCTGGCTGGTGTGGCTCAGTGGATTGAGCGCATGCCTGCAAACCACACAATTGCAGTTCGATTCCCAGTCAGGGCACATGCCTGGGTTGCAGGCCAGTTCCCAGCAGGGGACTCACGAGAGACAACCATACATTGATATTTCTCTCCCTCTCTCCTTCCCTTCCCCTCTAAAGATAAATAAATAAAATCTAAAAAGAAACCTCTTTCTAAAAAAAAAAAGTAAGATTATTAGTAGATGCACACTCTTTTACATCTAACACTTCCTAGGCATGTTGACTGTGCAATTCACTAGCCTCTTTAGCCTCCTCGTCATTCCCTGGAAAAGAGAAAAAATAATTGCCCACTCCTGGATTAAATGCAGAATCCTGGGTGAGCAATGAATTTGCACCCCACCGTCTGCCACACGATAAGAGGCCACTCACGGCGTCATCCTCCTGGGTTTACCGGTTGAACTGGAGGAGGGAGGGCAGGGAAGGCAGTTCCCCTGGCTCTCTGACACGCAGACGAGAACTCGCCGCTTGCATGGGGTGCTCGCTCCATGAGTGCTCACTCACTGGGGACGAGTTCTTGGATTCCCCGTCTGTGGCCCGTCCGCCAGGGTCCCGGGGTAAGGAGAGCTGGGGCCCACCTACCTCTGTGTGCGTTACTATCGCGAGCCTCACTGAGCGAGGAAAACTGTGCGGATCTGGTGGCTTGGCTGGCCCTTATTTTTTGTCTTGATCTGCTTTTCCCATTTGTCGTAAGACATACAGAGAAAGAGTTTGTATTCCATCTATTTCACTTCACCCTTCTGACCTTGTGCTTTTGGGGGATTTGTCAAAGCAGTCCCGTCTAAATCCCTGTGGGAATGGCATTTCGATCCTTTGTCGGGGCGGCGGGGCGAGACAGGGAGGGGAGAGGAAGGTGGGAAGGCGGTATTTACAGCCCAGGTGCATCTTTTCAAAAGTCATTTTCACTCAACTGATTCCGAGTTTCTGCTGAAATCTGATGGGGACCTGGGGGTGTAACTTCAAGGTAACTGAATTGCAATCACAAAAGCATTTTGAGTTGTAAAGGAACACACTGGCCCTGGCTGATATAGCTCAGTGGATTGAGTGCAGGCCTGTGAACCAAAGGACTGTGGTTCAATTCCCAGTCAGGGCACATGCCTGGGTTGCAGGCCGGTTCCCAGCAGGGTGTGCACAAGAAGCAGCCATCCATTGATAGTTTGCTCTCTCTCTCTCTCTCTCCTTCCCTTCCCCTCTAAAGATAAATAAATAAATAAATCTTTAAAAAAACTATTTAAAAAAAAGAAACACACTGGGAGAGGTAAATTCAGGATCAATACAGGACTTAGAATAACGCAGCTTCAAAGGTCAAGGCCTCAATTATCTGAGTATTAATCCATGTACAGTACAAGGTCAAATCCACTGGTTGATTCTCTACAGAGTTGTCAGAGCCCTGCCTTACTGTTGGCAGATTTTTGGTGCTATGGCGCCACCTACTGGAATGCTTGTAGAAACACCTTTTTCTAAATGAAAAGTCAGGTACTTAACATTGAAAAATTATGCGTGTATGTGTGTGGATAGACAGACAGACAGACAGACAGATAGATAGATAGATATGTATATATTTCTCAAAATAATAAAGTCAAAGGATAATATATTAAAGCACTAAGTATATTACTGTGTTCTATTTTATTAAATCTGTTTGGTGTGATTATAGAAAGTAAGAGTTTAAAAATTCAGTTCTTACTTTTGGAAATAGAGAGACCTTGTCTTTATTACACCACACCCATTTGTGTTTCTAATTTGATATTTGCAGTCAATTTTTTGTATTTAAAAATTACTGAAATTAAAAGATTATGCAATCTAATGGATACGGCTTACTGAATGAAAATGTTGCTTCAAGTTCCATTGCTCTAGTACCTCAGTATTTTCTTAAGGATCTTGCCTTCACTCTGGAAATGGCTTGCATTTAAAAAAATTATTTGAGAGTGCTTCCATGATTTTCAAGTGCCCAATAGTTCTCCTGTGATTTATGACATCAACCAAAGGTGTTTCAGTGGCTCAGACATCTGCTGGTAAACATTTTGCAACTATGAGAAAGAACAAACCATTTAAGTTTTACATGGAGCCCAAACTGTGATGCTGAAGCAGTGGGATTTTCTTTCCAAAAGATAAAAGGCTGTTTGTGTGCGATTTATTCCATAAGGAAAATGAAATAAAACAGAAGACAAGCTACAGTGTTTTAATATAGTCTAACCGTCACTTCGTGCGGAAATTCAGATTCAGAGTCCGAGACAGATTGGTGTCAAAAGTGTGCATGCCATTTGGGAAGCCTTTGTGGAAAGTGAGCGTGAACACAGAAGGAAGGGAAGTGGGGTTCATCTTTCCCTGTTACGGTGACTTCCCCGGGTGCTAAATTTTGTTGTGTTAAAGATTAAAGGACTGGAGGGATGCTGGCTGTGGAGCCGTGATAAAACCAGTCATCCAGACCCAGACATGAGCCCCAATGTACCACAGGCGCAAAGATGTGTGAGGACAGACACAGGCGGAGGGGGGAGGGAGGGAGGGAGCTTATTCAGGTCCCCAGCACCAGAGCCCCTCCCTCCCAGCTAAGCTGGAGGCCCCTGAGTTGGATGTCACTGCAGCCTGACTTGCCTGTCAAGGTCATATCTTGTACTAAATTAAACCGACACCCCTCTGAATTTTCTCATGGTTGTCTGGGCCATCTATATAGAATTGGATCTGAACACCAGTTTGTTCTAGTACTTTAAGTCATTTAGTCCGAAGTTCAGTTCTGTCTAAGATTATTTTTACTTAGCTCCAGAGCTTTTTTTCATAAACACGAATCTCCATGGGCTAAAACAAGGGCTAGGTCTGCTGGAGAGCGTGGACCGTGAGGAGGAGGAAGGTGGGATGCGGGGGGGCGGTCAGAGCGTGGCCTGCAGAGTCCGACAGGCACAGGGTCAAGCCTGGGCAAGGCCACACTAGCCTGGCGAACTTGGCCAGACACCCGACTTCTCTAAGCTTCTTGGGGTGACTGTGCGGCTTAAGAGAGAAAACACTAGCAAAGGGTGTAATAATACACCATTGTTCAATTAGTCTTTAAAAGAAGAGAAATCTCTAGAAATCGCCTTGTCCACTCTGGTCTCCTCTTCAAATCTTAGATTAAAATAGTGCCATGCTGCACCGTGTGTTTCTCTGGGGAAGGCATCGCTCGTGAACGGTCGGGATGAAATCAGTGTCTCTGGGGCCCTGAGCACGGGGGCTGGTGAAGACCCCGCTGGCTGGAGACACTTCGGCACAGCTACTAGTCCCGGTCCTGATGTTAAAAAAGACAGAGCTTCCTTCTGTCCCCAGTCTCCTTCTCCTCGTCTCCATAACGAACATGTGACGGCCTCTAATTCCTTTTTAGAGATGCTCTGCACGTATATTGGGGACAATAAATCAGAGCCACAGAGCGCTGTGGTCTGTGGATTTGGTGACAGAGCCACATGACTGTCCGCCTTTCTCTGCCACCAAATCCACCGTCAGATTTCTCCTCCGCGTTCCTGCAGCCGGTGGCCTCCTCGTCACTGGCCCGTTGTCTCAGCTACTACGCAGCATTTTTGAGTTTTTTGGTCCACATTTCACAGCGACGTGAGCTTATCTGGGGCAGGAAACTGCTTTGTCCTGTTCATATTCCATCACTGGAACTTGGAGTCACGTCTAGCACATAGTAGTAGCTCAATAAAGAGTCGTTACCTAGAAAATCAGTGATGCGTTTGGAAAAACTTTCCAAAGTCTTTTGCAGGCCTGAAAGTAACCCCAATAACCCTCCTTAGTCCTATTATTTTTCCTAATTTTCCATGAGAATTGGAAAACTTATAGCATAGTTCTGACACATTTAGGCTTTGTAAACCTAGTATTGAGAGAAGGAAGGTAGTTTCACTGGGGTGACAGGTACTGGAAATTGTCACTTTTTGAATGTTAACTAACAGAAATTATATATATATATATATATATATATATATATATATATATGACTTATATATGTACGGATGAAATTTGAAACTTTCTAAGAGATGTCTGTTTTGTTTTTTTGTTTTGTTTTTTCAGGAAATACCACTGTTGCCACTATTCCTGGTAAGAATTAATATTTGCGTTTTACTTATTTGATTCTTTGTTGTAAAGTTTATATTTATTGTTGATAGAATTTTGATATTACCTAATGAAATCATTCTATAAGGACAAACTTTCATGACTAGAACATTTTCTTGGCCTTACAGTTTCTGCTTATAAGATATAAAGTTTGATAACTACCTGAACACATTATTATTTGTATATATGCTATTGTGTATGAAGTATAGCTTTTCTTTAACTTTATAGTAAATCACACAAGTTTCCAGTCTCTTTGCATTTTAACTTTGCAAATAAATCAACTCAACTTAGATCATAAAACCATATTTAAAAAAAACAGAATAAGAAATTATTCAAGAGATTAGAGAGAAGTTTAATCATAATTATTTGCAGAACATATATCCCTTCAGGGGAAAGCTTTGAGACCATTTGGATAGTTTGTGATAATTATTTCTAAATTCTATTGCCACACCTGAATGTAGTCCTATCAAGTTAAATTTAAACAACATAGATGCTGAAAATAAATGTATACATGTTACACTCAAAGTAAGAGAGAAGTATTAGGTTGCATTTAGTTAAAAATGAATTCTGCCACTTCAATGTTCCTGCTATTGACAATGTACTGCTGGCAGCAGGAACTAAGGAAGTGAGTGAAGCCAAAAGACCGTCCAGACGCAGTCAGTACTCATGATGCCCAATGCAGCAAAGCCCATTTGAAATGTTCTGAGGACTGGGTTATTAAAAGAAGCCTTGCTGTAATTACTGAAAACTCGTTCCAAACCAGGGACCCCAAGAACCATGCAAATAGTAATGAAGCCCTCCTGGGCACGCGTAAGAAGCACACTCTTTTATTTCTTAAAAAGTTCCGATGTTGGAACTCTACACTTCTGGGATGTGGCAGAGAAGTTTTATACATCTGGGGGAGCCCTGGACACGCTAGCACCTTGGAGTGGGTTTAGTCCCCTCACATGCCCCTCGGCACCTGCACCTTTTACGGCAGAGCAAGTGACTGTAGAAATGGGGGGGGTTTGCAGGAGGAGTTGGGGGGTGGGTGGGAGGGAGGGAAGGTCTCAAGTACTGGACGACTCGCCCCTTCACTGAGAGAGCTGCCGTCATCTCTGCCCCGGTGCTGTGGTCACAAGCCTCCCAACGATGAGCCCAGGTGAGTTAAAATCGGGACCCCAAATGCAAATGAGAACTGTCTCTCCCCGGTAACCAGAAGCACCTCCAAAGTGGGGGTGCAGGGGTGAGGCGGACTGGGCAACAGAAGCCTCTTTTCTGACCCTAAATGGACTTCTTACCAGAGGAACTAGGGAGTCAACACCACGGACATCGGACTTCTAGGGAGCTTTTGTCCACCCACCTGGACTGACTCTCTTTGGCTAGAGGCCACCTTCCACCATCATGCTCACCCAAATGGCACAGCGCGGTGGCACGCAGTGCTTGGAGTGACCCCCCCTTCAGGTCTCTGTCACTCACGTCTGACCAGAGATTGGGGTCTGGAAGTAAAGGGAGAAGGTGGCATCATTTTCTCCCAGCAGAAGCGATCCCTCAGACCCTGCGAACAATGAAGTTAATGTAACCTAAAACAGCAAACCAATCACTGGCCACCTCTACAATGATGAGAGAGGATGTGAGGGTCCCCCTTCCCTCCTGTTCCGGTCTCATTTCTCCCCCCCCCCCTTCCTGCTGTCTTTTCTCCGCCTTCCTCTCTTTCTTTTGATCAGAGCTGGGGAGGGGGGACCAACGCTAGGTGTACAGTGTCCCACTGAGACAGGAAGCAGCCACGTGTCTGTGCGCCCGCCGTGTCGGCCGGCAGGTACCGATGGGCAAACGTTCACCAGTGGGTCTGTGAGTTATTAGATGTGAGATGAGAGGAACCGGAAGTTTCCTTGGAGAAGTAACACACAACAGCTGGGCTATCACCCCGGATTTCTGGAACCACCGAATAGTCCGCCATGTTTTAGGACCACCTAGCAGTTCAGTTCGGGGGGTTTTAGCTGAATCTGGTAAAACCTGATTTCACTTTATCTTTGATATTAATGAACGAAGCTAGGGCTTCTGGCGGTCATTTCTATTTGCATATTCCAAATTTCCTGTCCAATGATCTCTCTAGTCCAGTTCTTAATTCTTTCCTGTCTTACCACGACTATGCATTTTGCTGGCTTCTCCCACTCTGTCTTCCCACAGTTAGTCCATTTCCTTTTACCCAAACTCGTTCAACTGAATCACCTGACATACTCGAGTGGCACAGTCTGCTTTTGGCTCATTAAACATTGAAAACTGTAAATTCGCTCTTCATAGAAGTAAACACATATGACACACAGAAGATTTAGAAACCTTACACTTCTAAAATCCCCAGAGCCACAGATCACAATGTGCTTTTTCTGTCTCTTAAAAAACAACTTTGGTGTATTTCCCTGTTTCTGTCACACGGAAACGCACTGGCTAAGCGGGAACCCACGTGAAAACAAGGCGTGTGCCCCGTGGCTCGGGCTCGCCTGCCCTGCAGGACCTGGTGTGCTCACGTCAGCCATGCACACGCCTGTCCCCTCCCCACGTGGCACACCCGTCTTCTCTCCAAAACCTGAGCCAGGGCACCGAGTGTCCCGGACCTCCGTGGGGCGCCCCTGGTTACCGAAAATGAACCTTTTTCTGTAGACTTGGGTCATTTGTATATGCACCTGTTTGTGAATTTTGTCAGCTAGTCTTTCACCCAGCCCTTGCTTTCTCTGAATTTGATTTATTTAAGAAACTTCGTGTGCCTGCAGGCCTCGGTCTCTTACCCTCTCCTCTTGCAGAGCTTTCCCTCCTACCACTCCCTGTCCGGCTCCACCTTTCTCTGTTCTTTTCCTCTCGGATCAGCCTTTTCCCATTTCTTTCCACGGGCTTCACGCCCTGTGCCTCCTCCTCTGACCCCCACTGCCCTGGGCAGGCGGGAACCCAGTGCTTGGCCAGCGAGACGGCAGGGAACAGCAGTTTTAACCCCACCAGCCTGTGTTTTGTCTTTAGCTGCTACTCAGCCCCTGGTTTCCGGTCGGGGTCTGTATTACCGTATCCCTGTTCCTGTAGGCGTCTATTTATACGCGTGCACGGGCACAGACGTGCACAGATTTACAAACACACGTGCGCACACATCCGTGTGAATACGGTGTGCCACATCTGGGTGGTGTGTGTGCACAAACGTGCGTGGACACGGGTTACAGACGCCGCACGGGGACGGGGGAGAGCTTCCAGGGTGCGATGCACACATTCACTTTCTCCTCCTGTCTCCCACGCGTGTCACAGGACAGAGCACACCGGAAGGCGCTCAGCCTCCAGCCGCCCGCTCACCCGCCCGCACCTCGTCACCCTCACCCGCAGGCACCTCTGAGCCGGACAGTGGCTCTCCAGAGGCCGTGACATCTCTTAGCGCCGGGGGCCCTTCCCCAGAGATGCCCCCTCAGGACAGTGCCGGTGGGCCCGGCGTGACAGGTCGGCGCACGCGGCACTGACACGGGGAGACGGGGGCCTGTCCTTCTGTTGGGACCGTTCTAAAGTTACCAGGACGGTGTTTCTTTAACTGAACCCCGTGTTCCGTTCCAGGCACGCGGTTCTGTTAAAGTGTCCAAAATGCGGGGAATCGGGGTGTTTAGGAAACGGTGGCCAGTCAGAGTCAGGAAGGCCCACCTCGTGGGGGTGGGAGGGAGCCCCCCACAGGCACGATCCAGGAGGCAGGTAGGGGCTCCCCGGGCTGCGCTGCCTCTGGTCCCTGTTCACTTCGGGTTCCTGGAGCCGGAACCTGCCCCCCGCTCCGTCAGTCCTGCACGCCTGGGCTGCGCCCCAGGGCAGAGTCTTCCTTGGTTGTGTTCCAGATTCTCCGTACCAGAAAGTTATTGGAGACCATTTTTTTAGAAAAATACAGTGACGATTATGAATGTAGCTTTGTTATTCGGGGTCCTTCCCCCAGAGATATTTGCACTATTTTTTTTAAATAAGGTAAATTAATGAAATCTGGGTGTTTTCATAGACTGGGTCATTTCAGGGTCATAGCTATTGGCCCCTTGGAACCTCCTAGTGTTTAACTTTTCCGTCTGCAGTGGGGACACGTTGATGAAACACTGTCACTTCTTACCTTAGATGCCACATCAGCACCGGTGCCCCCCTCGACACCATCCACAGACCCCCAGGCACCCACTGCCGGACTTCGCTCTCAGGCACCCAGCGTGGCCCCCCCACCCGCACCCACTCCTGCCCCCGGCGGCCAGGACACGGCAGGTTTGCAGGGTTGGACTTGTGTGGACGTGCGGATGCATGAAAACTGGCCAGCGTTTCAGGATGGGGTGAGGGGTGAAACACGGGAAGGTGAAGGGCCACCTGTTCGGTGGACGGATGGATGGTTCATAGTCAGCCTGCGGGGCCACGTCCCAGAGGCCCCCGTCCCAGAGAAGAGACGGTGAGGAACAGAATTAGGAGACACGGGGAAACCGAGTCGAGGGAGATTACGCGGAGCTCGTCTCTGGGTTTCTCTTTATTCCGGCCACGTGTCTGCACAGAAGAGAGTTTTCCAGGAGTAGAGACCCACATTCGGAGGGAGACCTTTACCGAAAGACCTCCTTCCGAAAAACCAGACAGTGAAGAGCAGGTGGCTTTTGTCATCACTGAGGTATAGAATTGCTTCTGTAAAGATGAGAGAGTGAAAGGAGGTAGCTGCTCCCCTGCCCCTGGGAACAAACATCGAGATGCTCTGAGCTTAGCATCTTCGTGTCTGTACACACCAGGCGATGCGGTCCCTCCCTTGGCTTTCCAAAGTCAGTGTCTGAACCACGTCCCGGTGCCCCTTTGGGTCCTGAAACGCAGACGTGCCTGTCGGGTCACACACCAGCGGGACCCCAGCACCCAAAGGGCAAAGGTGCGGGCAAGGCACCCGCAGGGCAGCCGGGCCTCGTCAGAACCAAACTGGAGGGAGTGACGCGTGTCCAAGAGAACGATGGCTCTTCGGAAGTGGTCAACATGCTCCCTCTGCATAAAGCCTCATCCCAGACGACCTGCAAATTTTACAGCCGGGAAAAGAGCTGTTCCCACTGCCCTGCCTCAGTGCTGTTTCCCTGGCAGCTGCAGTAAGAAAAAAAATCTGGAGCTTTTAGCGAATGGGCCAATCTGGAAATTGTGGTAGGGAAGGAGCTGGAAAAGGACCAGAGGGGACAGGTCGGGTGGTCACACAGTCTGTCCGCTCTGCCCTGACCAGGGAGTCCTTCCAGTAGCTAATGCCACTCATCAAAACCTATTAGAGTGAATTAGCCCAATTAAATTGAAAACGCTGCTCCCACGCCCTCCTGGAGGTTCCCTGCATGAGGGACGGCAGCTGGCAGATGAAACGAGGTGTTTGGGGGCTTGGGGAGGGGACTCCAAGTGGCATGGGCACCAGGGTCTCTGGGAAAAAGAAAACCCCAAAGGCTGGTTTGCCAACTCCAGCAAGGGTCGGTTCTGGGTGGACCTCTTCTGAAAGGACACAAAGCCTCTGCCCGGTCTGGTCCTGTCGGGTCCTCCTCTGGGGACCTGCAGGCTGCTCTCTCGCCTCTCTGCTGGTTTCGTGCCCTGAGGGGCTGGAGTGGCTTTTGAAGACAGTGTTGGGACCCCAGACTCAAAATTTTGGAAGGTGCCTCTCCCGTCCTACTGGGGTGTCCCTGTGAACAGGAGGCAGTGCCCACACGAGGCCCTCGTGAGTGAGCATCGCTGCCGTTTTCAGACCAGGCAGCCGGGTCCTTCTGTGGACACCCTGGGGAGATTCGAGCTGCAAATATCAGGGAGCCGAGCACAGTGACATCACTGGAGGGTGACGGTGACGTCACAGGAGGGTGACAGTGACTGGGAAGCAGCCTGACAACCTCACTCAGGGGCTGGCTTGTCATCCTTTGGCTTTGGCCATGACGACCGCCCAGTGCGCATGCACTGGCCACCTCTGCTGGACTTCTGGGTGACCGGTCAGGCGCGGGGCGCTTTGCACTCGACCAAGCAAAGCCCCAGCCCCACACAACACGCGAGCTCTGCGGCTGCGGCCGCTCATTCTGCCCTGATGGGCTCTCCTACAACTAGAAAAGGAGGATCATGACGTCAGGGGGCCGGGGCCCCCTCTGGTTCTAACCCAGTTGGACGTTTCTGGCTGGGGAGCCCACGGAGTGAGAGCAGAATGGTAACCCTCACAGGACAGGAAATACCTGGAGCTCCACAGCTGTGTGTGCGGGAGAAGGCTCGGCCCTATTTTAAGAAAAACAGAACTAAGTAGCTGTGCCAGGGACCCCCTCCCTATGCCTGGGACACCCAGAGCACTGTCCCCGCCCTTGGGCCCCCTATCACTCCGCTGTAATTTGGGTTCCGCGTCTGTCTAAGCCGCCCCCCCGAGGTCCCAAACATTTAACATTCAGGCTCTGCCGGCGAAGCCTTGTGGATTTCTGGCTGTCGGCCCTTCAGCTCCCCTCTCTCACCACCTTGCTGCGCCCCAACATCGGCAGGATGCAGACCCGGGGTGTGACAGAAGGGACCGGTCCTCTGCTGCCCGGCTCCGCCTCAGTAATCCCGCCCACGTCTGCTGTCTGGCCCCGGCCCCTCCACCCCCGTGTGGCAGGACCCAGGGACAGCGCTGACGGCCTTTCTGATTGCAGGGACTCCGGCAGACTCGGCCCCCTCCGGCGCCTCCCCGGCAGCCACCGCCGCCCCCAGCCCCGCACACAGCAGCCCGGCTGCCTCACCCACACGCATCTCCGACAGCACCTCCAATTCCTCAGGTCGGGCCCGCGCTCGGGGGGCTGGGTGACGGTAGAGAAAGGGAACCCTGAAAGCTGAACACAGCCGCTCGGTGTGGCCACGGCAAGAGAAACGCACCAGGAAGCTGTTTCTGGGCACATTTTATTTTTCTCCTTCATGTTATAAGGGTGGATGGAGCCCTGGGACCAAAGCCTCGTGCCTTTGATTGCTGACTTTGGCACACAGGACTGATACTTCCTGCGTGTCGGTTTTCCCTCCTGTAAAATGGGTACAATGATGTCATTTTACCAGACTGTGGTGAGGACTGAAGATAGAAAAAGTGCGGTGTGACATGAAAAGTACAGGAAAGTAACCGGCAGTTTTTATTAGGAATTGCAATAAGGAGAGTTGGGGTTGACAGACAGGGAGGGACTTGGGGACGCTCACGCACCAGGTGAGAGTCACGCCCAGGAGCCAACCCCTCCTTGGCTGTCAGTTTATACAGCATTTAGTTCAGATTCTGTGGACTATCAGTGATCTTAAAGATCCTCATGGAGAAAAACCTTCAAGGCACAAGCCTCTGTTGAAAATGGCACTGGTCGGTCCCCAGGCAAAGACACGACCAGCCCACACTCATCGCCCAAGCGTCTCCCTCCCCATCGTCCGTCCCCGCGGCCAACGCGTTAACACTCATTTTTCTGTTCCTTTCCTTGCAGACCCGGGCACGACCCTGGCCACCTCAGCCCCTCAGAGACCTGCAGCAGACAACCCCACACTCACTACCACAGCCCTAGGTGACCGCCTCACCCCCAGTCACGCAGCCACCGCACCGGCACGCGCCTGGGACGCGCTCCCAGGGGGCCCTTCCTTTGAGACGTCCCGGCGAGGGGTGTAGTCCTGGGGGCGGGGGGCACGGCACTGTGCCGTGGGGGGGCGACAGGAAACAGTGTCTAGAATGTCTGGAGTGTGTATGAGGTAATAGCCCATAGCGACCCTCTGGTGGCGACCCCCAGGAGTTGTGACTTTATGAAAAACCTGGGCAGCAATGTCCACGTAGACCTGGGCGTCTTTCTCTCAGGGCGGGGCTGTGAAAAAGGGCAATGCTGCCCCTGGACGCCGCCATCCGGGTGATGAGTAGCAAGGGTGGGGGCCCCAGCCACACGGCGTGAGCCGAGGCAGCGCCTCTGAGGGACAGCCAGGCCCGCTGTCGGGGTGCCCACGGGGGGTCACCCTCCTTTCACTGGTCCTGCAGCTCAAAGTCCAGAGTAGCAGAGCTGGCTCGGTTCCCACCCCATTCTGTGAAATGTGACGGTCACACAGGATGCGTCTCCAGTTGTTGGGAGAGCGATGTTTTAGAGTTTACAAAGGCCAAAGAGAGATTGAAACCACCCTTGCCTAGGCGCAGATGTTTTCACACAAACCGAACTGTGGAGACTCACAGAGGCGTCCAACCCGCGGCCCAGCGTGGCTGTGAATGGGGCCCACCCAAACTCACACATTTACTTAACACGGGGTGAGATGCTGTTCGTGACCACGTGCCCGATGTATTTAGTGGGTGGCCCAAGACAACTCTTCTCCTTCCCGTGTGGCCCAGAGACGCCAAAAGGTCGGCCACCCGAGATTGTAATTATTTCAGCTATAATTTGAGAGCAGTCAAGGGTCAAGGACCTGGACACTGTTCCCGACTGTGGGTCACCAGCCACAATCGGACGTGAGCCCCAAAAGGTCTTGTTATTTTTCCCGCCATTGTGTCGATTGGGTGAATTCACAAAAATATCTCCTAGAACCAATCCCTTCGTTTAGCAAATTGTCCAGGCTGGCACTGTGTGGTCTGTGAGACCTACCCCGACAGTCCCCACGTGGCCCCCTACCCCCGAATGACTGGAGCAGAGACAGGGTAACACGAATTTTTTTTCTCTATTACAGTTACAACTGCACCCAAGCCGTCCTGCGGTAAGTTTGCCCACCCGGAGGCAGCTTGTGGCGTTTCCGGAGGGCGCTTTCTTTCATTCTTTCCTTCTTTCGGTCGAGCTTCCGAGACCCCAGCAGGCCCCGCTCACTGGCTCCGGTTACGGCGACTTCCACACAGGAGGAGACTGCGCCCTTCCCTTTCGGGGGCCGGGGGCTCTGAGGCGGTCCCCGTCGGCCCAGGACTGGCAATCACACGCTAAACAACTTCAGGGGGGCCACTTCCCTTCCCTTCAGGGGTTCGTGAGATGGAATGAGGGCGAGGCTGTTTGGGCGCGGGAGCGAGTGTGGGGGTACCAACGAGATGTGGGTGCTGCCGACAGGCTTCCGGGGCAGAAAAACCGCGCCGGTGTCTCTGTGTCCGTCCCTGTGTCCGTCTGTGTGTCCATCTTGCTTCGCTGACGCACAGCCAGTACCAGAGGACACCTTAGGCCCCCCCACTTCCCAGTGGAAGCCCAGTCCCTCTCCGGGGCCTGGGCCAAGCCCTCCTTTCCGAGTCCCCCTCTGCCGCCCCGTGGGCAGGGGCCCTGGGCCTGGCGTGCAGAGCAGCCGCCCTGAGTTTGCTCGGTGCACATGACCTTTTATGCCCAGGGGCCCCCCCCCACCCTCCTCACTTCAGGAGCATGGAGATGCGCCACACACAGTGCCCCTTCCTCTGCGGTGGAACTCCATCTATGTTCCTACTTTCTGATCGCGTTTGAAACCGCGAACCGATCAGCCGCTGTCTTCAGCCTTGTATCCCACACCCGAATGAGAACTAACACGGTTCTTGACGTCCTCGGACTTACCCACTTAGCACGACAGTCTCCCGGGCCACCCGTGTTGTCACAAATGGCGGCGTCTCCGCCTTTCTTGGGGGCCGAGTGGTGCTCCGAGGGGCTGACGCACACCGAGTCTTCACGCAGCCTGTCTCCGTGCGGCCAGGAGCATCGGGCACATACATCTTTGCGAATAAATGCTTTCCAGTTTCCCAGCAGCGGGGTGGCTGGGTCACGTGGTACCTCTATTCTTAACTTTCCGAGGACGCCCCCCGATGGCGTTTTCCATCCTGGCTGCACCAGTTTACAGTCTCACCAGCAGCGCATGAGGCTGTCATAGAACCGTGCCCTGGAAACGATAGGATTTTATCAGCCTATGTCACTCTGATACTTTTAATATAACTAAATAAACTGCAAACTCAGTCACCTCCTGGGAAAGGCTCTCCTCCAGCCCGAACACATCTCTCTGTGTCCACTTTCATGTGACGTCACGCATAATCCCGCGTGAGGTGTCCCCGAGTCCTCCGCAGCTTCTGTCCGGGCCCTTCTCCACGTTACACTCTAGCTCGTCAAAGAGCAAACATTCATATTCCTAGCAGTTTGGACAGTGACTTGAGCATAATGCTAAGGACTTACTCATTTTCGTTGCATTAATAAACGAGCGAATGTTAGTATTCGTTGAAAGGGCACTGTTAGCCCAGTCACCAGAATTTGTTTCAGCAAAGGTGAGAATGGGGAGTGACCCTGAGAAAGCCACCGAGGAGGGTTTATTCTCCATAATTTTACGTAAGCCCGGGAAGGAAGAGGCCTGGGGTCTCTACGTAATTAATGCCCCCCGTGTTCGGAGGAATGGAAGAGCGAGAATGGCGTTTTAGAATGCAAAGGGAACCGAAAAGCAAAAAGAAATGTGTCAGACACACTGTCTGCTAAGTCATCAGTTCAACCGGGATGAGTGACCCCTTGCCCCCAGTGACAAGTGTCAGGCAAGCACCTGGACGGACAGTGAGGATCCCGGCAGGCTGGCCTTTGCTCTCCCGGTGTGTCCGGTCCAGACGGGAAGATGGGCACCTGAGCGGGGGTCTTTGGCCAAACAGTGGAGGGAGGGAGGGGAGATGCTCGCCGGCGGGCGGGGGAGGAGGCCGGCTGTGTCCCTTCTGTATCCACGTTCCTGGGGGTGTTCCCTGAACAAGCTTTTGAAAGCTTGTGTTAAGGAGTTCTCATTAAATGTAGGTCTATTTTGTGCTGAAAAATAAAACTAACCCCCCTGTTTCATCTTCTTTCAGAGGACAAGTTTGCAGGCATCTCTGTGACCTATCTTCCTGACAGCAGAAATAATCAATTTAAGGCAAAATTAAAAGTCAGTGATGATGTGACATGTTCCCCTGAGTCATGTGTAAACCGAGAGATCTCCGGCCTGGATGAATGTAGAACTCTCAGTATTAACATCCACCACCGTTCATGCACTGATCCCCCCAAAAAATTAACATTACACGTCCCACCAGGTAAGTGGAAATTGACGGCTACTTGTATATTGACAAAAACGGTGCTTGTCCTGGACGCCCGGGAGTCACCAGGTGATGGGACAGGGCTGAGGGGAGGAGCTAGCAGGACGAGAGTGGGCCAGCTCTTGGGTCTGCTCCCCCAGCAGAAAGGAGAGACCCAGAGAAGCCTTCTGTGTGGGTCCTTAGCCCTCCCTACCGTCCCCCGCAGAGCAGTTCCTGCAGTCGCTCTAACTAACTTCGCCCACGGGGTGACTGTCCTCCAGAGTTCACTTTTTCTCCTCTGCTTCCTATTTATGCTTTTCAGTGTGGGTGTGTCTAGAATGCACGGGGGGGGGGGGGGGGGGGGGTGCCACATCAAGGACTCAATGCTACTCTCACACAGGAAAGGAGGGGTAGTGTCCCGGGAGGGCCTTCAGGAGAAGTCTCTGGCGCATCCTCTGCTGAGAGCAGGGCCCGCGGCCCCTCCCCGACCACCCCGGGACACGCCTGAGAAAGGGTGGCAGGGACCACGGCTGAGTGTGGGGTCTCTGGCGTCCTGTCGTCATTCGCGGTGACCGCTCCATTAATGAACACAGAAGTAGGCCGAGTCTAGTGTTTTTCTGGGCAAATGTGATTTCACTTACTTGCTTGCTCTAAAGATTACTGAAATAAGTCATCCATTAGAAACAGAAAAGTGACAACTTTTTAAAAAGGTTTTAAGAGGCAGCCCCCGAACTCTGTGTGATGACCAGTCAGTGAAAAATCAAAGGGTACATGGAGCAAAGGGAAGGCAGAAATAAGGAACTAAGATGGACCGAGTGTTCCGAAATGTGCAAACATGCAATTTTATCTAGACATTTGTCGGGTTCTGTTTTTCCAAAGTAGCATAGGTTTGAAATAACATGTTACAAAAATGTGTGATGTTAAAAGAAAGAATACACAATAATCAAAACCCCAAGTGTAGAGTTTTTCCAAAGCAATCTTAATGCTTGTCTTGAATAGAGTTTCTGTGTCATGAATGGAATTTCAGTGACTGTGACCGGGCCAGGGCACTCGGTGCGACGTGTTAACCACCTACTTCTGGATTCTCCTTCGCGACAGGTCCTGACCATTTCCATTTGGAGAAATGTCTGCAGGATCAGGAAGACACAGACACTTCTATTTGCTTAATTTGGCAACTTCAGGGAAACTTCACTTGTAACAAAAGTAAACTTCAGTACAGGCATCAATGTGGTAAGAACACAGTATTGATCCGAGAATTTTTGTCAGAGGAAGTTGTTTCCTTTCTTCCTCCCTGCTTCCTCTCCCTCTTCTCCCTCCCCTCCTCCTCCTCCTCCTCTTCTTCCTTTCTTTCTCTCTCTCTGGTTTGTTTGGGGTCAGATCACTGTATTGTCTACAGCACTCAACTTTATAAAACAGACAAATCTTCCCCCCGCCAAAAAAAACTCCTGAATTAGTAGAAGTCCGTTCATGTGCAGCTGCCCCACGCAAGGCACCGTGGACGAGGCGGCCAGAGAGGAGCGTTAGGAGGGAGGGCGACCACCACCAGGGCAGGGCAAGGGGAGCAAGCGCAGGGTCGCACGGCACCAGAGCTCACCTGGCCAGCCCGCCGCCAGCAAAACTCACAAAGTGCTTGGAGACCGTGGAAATGAAAGGGAGGTCGGGAAAGAGCAGTCCGGGAATCTGAGTCTGGGTTTAAATGAGTGGGGGCCCGTGACTGAGCTGGCGTTTCCAGCTGATGATTACTGATTGAATGCTTTTTGAACCCCTCCTCATTTCAATCGACTGAGGTGGGACCTCCCTCCCTTTGCACAAAGCCATTTGCTAGGCCGTGTTTGGGAAGATGGACAGACACCCACCCTGCCGGGCGTGAGTACAGGAGGGACGAGCAGCTGGGATGGAAGCGTGAGGAGAGCGAGGCCCGGAACGCCCATGAGACGGTGACCTGATAGCTGTCTGTTAGGTGACAGCGACCTCAGGTGCGGTCTCACCTCTGAACACAGAGCCACGGGCTGATTCCATCACTTAAATAAGACACATCCTCAACATTCACTAAAATTCCCGGTATTTTCTTTAAAATCGAGTGTGGTAAAATAATGCATTGTGATTAATAGTTTTCAGGATCTTTTATTCATTATTTTTGCTACTTGCATAGGTTTGCAATCCAATAGATAGTAATTATAAATAGGAAATCTACAAAGAAAGGTATGTGATATATTGTGTTAATACATTCACATGCAATATTTATTTCTTTCAGATAATGTTACTTCAGATAAGGAGGAAATTAAACTAAATAACCTTCAACCTAGTACAGATCACGACTGTACGTCAGAAGTGCTCTATGAGAACTACTCTGTTTCTAAAAAGCATCAGACTGTTCGGACAGAATCTGAGAGTGAGTCCAGTACTTACATATATACATCAAAATTTTTTTATATTGTTATGATTCTTGGAGTATCACAGAAATTGACGTTGCAGATTCGGGAAAAGGGATTCAGAAATACACCTGTGTCACCTTGTTAGGAGCACAGTGTAGAAATAAACCCCCTGGGTTAAGTTTCGGCTGCCATTTGGTCCGTGTGCCGCAGGCTGATGTGAGCCGCGGTGCCCGCCTTGCCCGGTCAGCTCCGCCTGAGCGCAACCCCTCTTGGGGGCCTGGACAAACAGGAAAGTTAACTCAGAATGGACTGCAGACCCGCACTCAAGATAAAAACCATAAAATGTCTAGATGAAGAAGACATGAGAGAGATGTGTTTGCTACTTGAGAGTAGCAAGAATTTCTTAGAGGGCATAGAGAATAGGAATGATTTTTAAAGTTACACTGATTGGACGTCATCAAAATGGAACATTCTTGCTCTTTGAATAAAGCCATTAAGGAAATAAAAGATCAAGCCATACATTGTGAAAAAATAGCCACAGTTAATTTATTTAAACTAAGAACATTTTTCCAAAATCCAAATACTTCTTTCAAATACAAAATGAGACTTGGGTGCCTTAGTTGAGACTGGGCAAACATTTCGAACATACGCTTGACCAAAAAAAAAAAAAAGAAAAGAAAAAAGACACATGAATGGCCCATAAGCACATGGGAAGGGTGCTCCACATCATGAGTCACCTGGGAGATGCGACTCCAGACAGCAAAGAGAGCAAAGCACGGGCCCCCGTGAGGACTTCCACACACATATGCACCGCCGCTCCCTTCATCGTCGCCGAAGGCCCGGGAGCCACGCCCACGGCCAGCAGCGGAGGGTGCAGAGGTCAGAGGTGGCGCGCCCTCTCCATGGACTGCCACTGACGAGTAAGGGGACTGACCGGCGTCACGGGGCTGTGGACTCGGCCACCACGTGTCGAGGGCTGGCCCCAGGCAGCCCCTGTCCTGGATGAAATGGGTGAGGGACGGACCAAATGCGCAGGGACAGGAAGCAGGCCCGAGGGTGTCTGGGCAGTGACTTGACTGGGGCGGTGCAAGCCCTGTGTGTCTGGACCCTGATGGGACGCTGCAGGCCCCTCCCCCCTGGGCCCCCGAGCTGCGTGCCCCTGCCTCTGATGCGAGCACTTACCTCTTCTTCACCTCAAGTCCCGACGACAAGTCCTGGAAGCGAGGAGAAGGGGTACTTCGCATAACAACTGTGACTGATGTGTCATCGGCCCTGCCGGTGACAGAGCTCTCGGCACAGGGCAGTCCAGAAACCCCAGGTGGCTGGACTGTGACATGCACGAGAGAAAGCAGGGTCCCCAGATAATCTGTGAGTCGGTGGACTGCCTCCGGTCATGGTGACCCTGCTAAGGGACCTCAAAAGCAAATTTGATGTGACCAGTGTCTTTTTTACAATGTCATTATTAATCCTGCATTCGTTAAAATGTGGCTATTCATAACGCATGCTTACAATGTGAAGGATGTTTTCCCCGCATCTCCATTTTTACGTTTTCTCCTCATTCTCTCCGCAGTGCCAGGGCAGCTGCAGAACCTGACCTGTACTGGATCTGACAAAGCAGCAGAGGTCACCTGGGCACCTCCGTCGACTTTCTTTCGTGGCTTTCTTCTTTGCTGCAAGCCAGGTAATTTACACGGCAGGCAGTCCCGTGTCGGGGAAGAGAGACCAGGAATGGGAAGGCACTAGACACGGGGACTGAGGCAGTGAGCCCTCTGCATGGCCTTGGTCACCTGCCACCTGTGGGCCGTGTTCCAGACCCCCGTCCGATCGCCGTGACTTCACCAGCCCCTGAAATGACCGAAGCCCAGTTATACTCCAAAGCCCATATCCATGCTCCAAAGGCTGGAGAAAGGCTATCTCTGGAAGACAGCCTTGACCTCCAAATATCATGCATGGGAGTGAGTTACGCTGCTTCAAGCTCATGGTTCAGGCTCACGAACAAACACCTTCCGAACCTCGATCCCCACAAAACGCTGGCTGTCAAACTGGCTAGGATAAAAGCTTCGCGGAACCTCATAAACAAAATTCATTTCCATCTAGAATGGTGGGCGTTAAGTCAATCAACTCCAGCTTCGGGGGTTTCTGAGAAACAGACCCTTCACGAGGCAGCAGCACACCCTTCCTCTCACTGTCTAGCAGCCCGTGGTGACACGGAGACAGTGGCTGTGTCACTGAGACAAGGACTGCGCACATGTCAGACCAGATCTTTCCTACGGAGTCTCTGCAAGTCCACGGGCGTGGCCGGCCGGGACACAGAAGCGAGGTGGCCAACACTAAGAGACAGCTCGGGCCCCCTGCAGACCCTTGTCCCTTGTCCACACCAGACAGAACACACAGTGGACCTGGAGCCTCCATGCCCAGGGCCATCGGGCTTTGTTCTTCCTGCCTGTGAGGTCGCACATAGATTGCCGAAGGCGGGGTGGCCAACCCGCGGCCCACACGCCACGTGGGCCCCACACAAAACTGTGCGTTTACTTAAAACATTGCCTAGTCTTATTACTGAGTTTTACACTAAGGTTTATTACTTCGATGTGTACATTTTCTATATTAGTGATCCCAAATTTGGGACCTGCTCAATGATTTTAAAAGATTATCAAAAGGGCCGCCACGTAATGAGGTGGTCATGTGAGGACTTTTGTGGCTTATCCGTGTCGGCGGCATCACTGAGATTACGCACGGACCCGCTTGTGGCTCATCAGTTTTTGTTAGCGTTTGTGTGTTCGATGTGTGGCCCAAGACAACTCTTCTTCTTCCAGTGTGGCCCGGGGACGCCCCAGGACGGCTCAGACAGGACCACCTGGCTCAAGGTCGCCACTTTTGTCATCTGTAAAATCACGATGGCCAGGGCGCTCCTTCCCACCACTTAAAACAGTGCTTGGCCCGTGGAGAGACCTGTGTGTTATGTGTATCGTGACTGTGTTAACGTTTTCAAAGAGGTTTTACTTATTTATTTTTTAGAAGGAAGAGATGGATGTAGCCAAGAGATGGATGTAGCCAAGGAAAACTCCCAAATGCCTATCAGGAGCCTGACCTGTAGACCAGGTATGTGCTCTGACCGGGAGTTGAACCCGTGACCCTTTGGTTTGTGGGACAGTGTCCACCCCCCTGAGGCACACCAGCCAGGGTGGATGGTGTTAATACCGTTGTCATGGTAACTGCTGTCTGGTAGCAGGGGGCCACTGGGATTGTCCTTTAACCCTTCGTCTGGATGCCAGTGGACCACTCAGAAGCCGTCAGTAGCCAGTGATTTCTCATCTTCACAAATGCTGACTCTTGTGCCTGAGTGTCCAAACATATTTGAACAAGTCCTACCACTCACGTGACTCCCCAGCCAGCATCCACCATCTGACTTGGGCTGGTCCCTCGATCCTGAATCGTCCTTGCTTTCCTAATGGTTTTCTCTTTGCCCTTCCACCCATTCAGCCTCCCCCATCTTTCACTAAGAGGTCACTCACGTTTTTACTGCCAGTGCCATGTTTCCCCGAATTTCTCAGACGCCACCAGTTACTGTCGAGCAGACCTGGTTATTCGTGGTCGACTGGATCATGCATCTAAAACCCCCAACAGTAGCTCGTAGCGAGGGTCCAAGTTCGGAGGTTAAGTATTAGAAAAAGGTTCACTTAAAAAAATCATCTTTCTCAAACGTCACAAGTCAAGACTTCTATAATATCCACTGTGAACTGTTCTCTCAGAAAGGGAAGACCGTCTTCACAAACGGGCCTCGACGTATTAAATTGTTTATTTACCGAGTGAATTACATGCAACCATAATTTTTGAATGTTTGCCTTTGTTTATCACCATAGAATTGGTTCAAGATCATCGCTGGTCACTGCATGTGCTTCTGAACACCAAGGATATACTCACACATATTTTCTCAATCACTGGGCTTCCGGTTGGCTGCAAAGGACGTCGGGTAGACGTCACATTAAGTGAGTGGTACTCTTGACTCGTAAAGACTTAATAAATGTTTTCTCTTCCTCTCCGAGGTGGCTCCTGCCATAAACTGAGCAAGACTGAGAACAGCGGTGCTTTGCGGGAGCTGGAGCCGTATACAAAGTACTGTGTCACTGTGTACGCCTCCGTCGAGGGGAAAAGGCCGCGCAAGGGGCCTCCCAGAACATGTACATTTCAAACAAAAGAAGCACGTAAGTTACAGGCTCTACTGCCCCCTTTTTTCTAAGAATGGCAAGGGCAAAGTAGGAGCACTTTAGCACGTGGTATCCCTGTCTTCACGCTTCACTCGGGAAATGCCTGGATCTGGCCTATTTCTTTACATGTAGGCTTGTGGTTTTTAAAGAACAATGATTTAGAAATGTTTCCTGGGCCCTCTGTGTGCTTCAGCTACAATCGTAAGGACTACAAAAGCAAAGCATGAGGGCGAATGAGCTGGTGCCACACGCGTGATTCCAGGCACAGAGGTCCCTGACCCACAGACATTAGAGGGGTGTGGCCCACTGCGGTCTTTGGTGTCCAGACACCCAAGGCCACCCGGCTCACAACGCCTTCCCGGGCTGACCTCCGCCTCCCTGACCCAACGCCTCTTCAAACAAAATTGTCTCGTTAGCATGCTTCTGTCTTTGGGTTGCCCTGGGCACCTGGGGCTCTCTGTCACCGGCCTGGAATCTCCGTGGTTTCCAGGCCCTGAGCTACACTGGCTCGGAGGTGACTGTTAGGCCCAGGAGCTCGGGAGACTGGAGGCGCCGTGGGCAAGCCGACAGGGGTGGCCCCAGAGGGCCCCGCTGGCATGAAGGTAGCTTGTCTTACTCCAGGCTGGACATAAAATGTTCTTAATGCCCTTGAGGTTTTGATTGAAAACATCCAGGTTCTCAAGAGTTCGGCTTTTGTCCCAATCCTGGATTTCTGTGACATCCCAGAAAACAGAGACCAGTTGCAGCTGCTGCCGTGGGGTCCCAGAAAGAAGGCCTCAGGCAGCACGCAGGGCAGCCTGCACCCCCACTCCCACCCGCCCCCCTCTCCTCCCTTCCCCTCGGTCCTGCCATTCTGTGCATCTTCCTGGCGGGGCATCTTCCTGGCAGGGCAGCAGGAACGCCCGAGGCTTCGAATTCAACTCAGAAGCCATGGTCCCTGAACAAATAGGTGGTTTACTCCTCAATGTTCTGTTCCAGTTTTCTCACGGAAGTCCTGCTGGAACTTTCTCCTCCGTACCCCCTAAGGAACACCTAACAGCGTTTATGTGGTAAACGCACAGCGTCCAGCAAGCATTTACCACATGACTAGTCAATCCTGCTTCCTTTCGACAGCCCCCACCAAGGTCAAGGACATCATCGTCTCGCCGATGTCAGATAACAGTATGCTAGTGACTTGCCAGAGACCCGACCACATCTACGGCCCCCAAAAAAACTACAGCCTGACAGTCAAGACTGGGGGTGCTGAGGTTCAACGTCACTCAAGGGAAGAGTGCAGATTCATTGTGAAAGATCTGAGCTATTCAACACAATATTTCTTTGAGGTAAGATGATCGTTTCTGTGCTCACTGCCGTCCTGACAAGCACTGCAATGCTCACTACGCAGCACTTGAGTAACGCAGAACTTGGCTCACGGGGACACAAGAAGCCCAAAAGTCTAAGGCAATCACCCTGTAAAAGTCTTAAAAGTTGAACCGCAACCTTTCCCCCACTGTAGCAAAAACAGGACTTTAAGGCAAATATTTTGTCAGAATATTGTTTAAGGTGAATTTCTTTTTTCAAAGATTTTTCAAATTTATTTTTAGAGAGAGGGGAAGGGATGGAGAAAGAGAGGGAGAGAAGCATCAAGGTGTGGCTGCTTCTCTAGCGCCCCCTACTGGGGGAACTGTCCCACAACCCAGGCAGGTGCCCTGACTGGGAATCAAACCTGCAACCCTTTGGTTCACAGGCCGGCACTCAGTCCACTGAGCTACACCAGCTAAACCTGTCCAAATATTTTTGACCTTCAATAATATACCAATATATTACCTTTAGATGATCGATCTATCACATAGCATTATGATATCATCAACATGTAATGCTCCTCTCTCTTTCCAGAACTTTCTTTTCTCATCTGTTGAATAAGGTTAAGTTATTCTGGAAAATTATAGGCAAACATCATATTTAAATGCAGTCCTAAAATTCAAATGAGGAGATCATTGTTGAGTTACTCCCCCTCTCCCCCCACCCCAGACTTGTGTTCTTCATGGCCCGAGCCTCCAATGGCAATTCAGTCTCCACTCCCCCATTCACACCTTGGTAGGGGGCCGTCCTTTGAGCTTTATTCATCATTATGACCACCATAAACTAATAAAGGTGTTTTTTTATTACTGTGACTTCATTGCTCTTCTTTTTTGTAGGTTTATTTTGATGTTCTTCTGGTAGTTTTTCAGCCATGTAGTTCTCTTTTTCTAATTAACTAAAGAAAGTTAAAACTTTTATAAAATGTTGACTGTATCTCATGTCTATATTACTTATCGCTAATTTCTCAATGACTGACAAAATTATATAATGAGCGGATTATGAAGGTGCTCTTATTGGTAATTTCTAAAGAGTTTAGAATTGCATTTTGAAAGAGTTTGAGTGTACCTGTCTTTTAAAAGATGGTGTTTCCGTATTCTGGTGCTTGATTTTTTTTTTTTTTTACAACTGCCGCCTTTTGGAATTTCTGAAGTATTTCTTACAGTTCATTATCTGATACATGTGCATGAATATTCTGAGGCTTCTGGGGAGGTTACACACCCTCCACAGGGTTCATGATTAGGTATATATTTTCCAGATTAATAAGTCTGCAAAATTTTTTTATTTGTCATTAGTCTCTTCAAAGATGTGATTCGCTTAACCTTTTTCACTAAATTTATTCTTACTTCCATGTGGGTGGTGGATTTTGGTTTGGGTTTTGGTTTTTTTGCCACTCTGCCTTCTTCCCCCGCGCTTCTAAATGGGTTTTGCTGCCTTTGTGTCCGATCTCACGAGATGCAGGCACTGAGGCTGATGGCGTCACTAGGGTGCCCTGTGCCCCATGTCACTCAGAGCCTGGGACATTGCCACTGCGGTGCTGGTGGCCTGACTCCCGCGAAGAGCAACACTGAGACCATTAATTCTAGTGCTTCCTTATTCGCCACTGGAAGACTTTCGTGTGCCTTTTCTGTGTTGCTCCCGTTGACACTGAGTGGTAGATGTGTATTTCAAAATAAAATGTGAAGACATTAGCCGATTAATAGGGAATTTAACTTTAAGCCATGAGTGGTTTGAAGTGCTGGATTTTATTCCTTCTGCTTCTTTATTCTTGATATAATGTCATTGCTAAATGGGCTAAGATTTCTTTATCTTTCACGGTTAAACACTTTCTTTTAAACCATATCTGGTAAAAAAAAATATACTGACATTCATTGCCCTCAAGTTTCCATTTGAAATTAAAGGTAGCCAGTATATTTTTAATGAGAATGAAAACTGTTGCATGAGAAATGTATATGTTGCATTATAATACATAAATTCACATGAGAAAACGAGCTTCTCTTTTGTTACTGAAATTTAGATCTTTTTGAACAACGGGGTGCACAATGGACCCACGGCGTCTGCTCCTGGATCAACATCATGTAAGTGATCACTCTTTGCTATGTTCATATTCAAAAATACGAGAACACACATACAAAGCTCAAGTTTTTATGTTCATGCCATGTCCAATTATTACATGTTTAAATGACATATATTTTACAAGCACAGGAGTTTATGTTATCTGAAGAATCGCATAGCTGAGCATCATACTGAAATACAGCATCTTAAACGCAAACAAGGAAATTCAATTATTCAAAGAGTATCAGTTTCATGAAATTTCAGTCCTAAGAGAATTGACCCGCACAGACTGTTAAGTTAGGCTTACATCTCTGACTTTGATCGTGTTCGGAACAAAGTGGGTTTGTTCCATGTGCTTTGGAGGTTGGGGCCTATTTTACCCCATTCTGTCCCTCACCAGTCCCCGGGGCAGAAGCAGGTGCCGGTCACTCCTCTGCCCCTGAGTTGCCACACTAAAGCGAAGATCACTATCACCTTGTAATAAGATGGCTACTTAATTTTCTAGCAATAACATTCAAAGTATTTCGAGCAACATAAATGCGCACGCAGAAAAAAACCCCACATAAAATGTCATCATCGTCATGAGAATAACAGCACCCCACCCCCTGCAGAACTGCCGCGAGTCACACCGAGGGGTTCCCGGTTGGAGAAAGACATTCCCAGATGTGTGGCCTGCCGCCCTGTCTGGAGTTCCTGGCGTTGCCAGCTGGGCTGGGCTGGGCTGGGGGGGGAGGCTTGGGTCACGGTTTGTAGGGCTCCCCACTTGGCAACATGGCGAGTAAACTCAGCGGAAAGCTCTGGGTCTGTCTCTCTCCTGGCCACTTCCTGCGCTGTCTCATGTGTGCATGTGGCTGTCCCTGATGCCTCGTTTGCCCGAGAGGGAAGATACAAAGTCAGCTGCCTTTGCATTCTGCCGGACTAAGGCTCACGTAGAAATCTGGCTGCAGCGGCTCAGACGTAGAACAGAAAACTCCTCATATTAGGTGCGGGGCTGTTTTCCCCACTGCAGGGCTTTGGACCTGGGCTGGACCAGTCACGGTTCGCCTGGACCGAGGGATTCACAACGTGTGTTCACAAATGTCTGTGAAATGCGGGAGTGGAGTCTCTTTCTCCTCTAGTCCACATCCTACAGGGGCCGCACACCTAGCTCACACCAACCTGGCCTTCACACGGTTTTCAGTGACCCCCAAATCCGACCCTCGCACTCCCCGGATCACGGGAGTCCTGCTGTTGCTTGGGCGCGTGGGGCATGTCTGTGCCCGGGTTCTTGCCCTGCCCAACTCCTCTGCCTCCTATGCTGCTTTTTTTTTTTTGAAAACTACAAAATAAGTGAAAATATTAAAGTGTTACACACTGGCAAGGTGATGAGCCCAAGGATCCGGCTCACTCGATGCCGTAATCCTCTCTCTTCATGTGCTATGTTTCGTTTCTAGATAATTCTAAGGCGCTGATCGGGTTTCTCGTGTTTCTGATTGTGGTGACCACAGTAGCCCTGCTCATTGTTCTCTACAAAATCTATGACCTGCACAAGAGGAGATCCAGGTGAGCGCTGATTTCCAAAGATACACCGTGGTAACCATTATGGTGGTAGTGATGAAGGCCCCGGCCCGTGAGGAAGGGGGAGGCGGAGACCGCAGGGGGCCTAGGCCATCACTGAGCCCTGGGTGGAAGCTCTTCAGCACGGCCTCGTTGGGCTGCAGTAAACATTAGCATTTCCTACATTCACGGGTCACAGTATGGACTGGTTGTAATAATAACCAGGGACAAGGATGTGTGTCCGTCCGTCCATACAGAGCGGGTCAGAGGGATGATGATGACAAAAGAAAGGAGAAAGCTGCTTAGGGATGGATTGTAGCCTCTTGGCCAGGGACGATCACGCTTTATGAAACAGAGGAGTTTTAAAGTAAAATAATTTCGTCACTTGTCTCAGATGAACAGATAATCCTTGGTTTTCTTCCTGCCTCCCTTTTCCTTCCGCTTTACTCCCCACCTCTTCCATCATCCTCCCCATCTTCTTCCCGCCCCTTCCTCCCCTGGCCCCTCCCCTGGCCCCTCCACTTCCTCCTCCACTTCCTCTCCCCCTCCACTTCCTCTCCCCCTCCCCTTACTCTCCCCCTCCACTTCCTCTCCCCCCTCCACTTCCTCTCCCCCTCCCCTTCCTCTCCCCCTCCACTTCCTCTCCCCCCTCCACTTCCTCTCCCCCTCCCCTTCCTCTCCCCCTCCCCTTCCTCTCCCCCTCCACTTCCTCTCCCTCTCCCCCTCCACTTCCTCTCCCTCTCCCCCTCTACTTCCTCTCCCTCTCCACTTCCCCTTCCCTCCTCTTCTCTCCTCTCTTCCCTCATTATCCTCCCTGCCTCCATCTCCTCCTTTTTTAAACATATTTATTAAATATGAGTTAAATGCCCACTGAACTCCATGTTTCAGACTAGAAACTTACATTTCTCGTTTCGCAGCAATTTAGATGAACAACAGGAACTCGTCGAAAGGGGTAAGTTTGCCTATTTTTAAACTGAAGAATTACGCAGCTCCCCCCCCCCGCCCCACATTTGAATCCCCACATTTAAAATAAGAATCCCACCCTTTTTGTCTAACTTGGGCTGCCCCTGTTGACACCAGGACAAAGCTTCCACGTACTTAGGTAATGAGCAAGGATTAAATCCGAGATGTAAATTTAGTGGCAGGAGAGTGAGCCTTTGAGCGACTGGTAACACTGGCCTTGACCCTTTCATCTGCTTAAAGATGATGAGAAGCAGCTGATGAGCGTGGATCCCATCCACGCCGACGTGTTGCTGGAAACCTACAAGAGAAAGATTGCAGACGAGGGGAGACTTTTCCTGGCCGAGTTCCAGGTGGGTGCTCTTTGTGGGTTGCGAGGGGAGAGCTTCCACAGCGAGCAAGACCCCCCGCTGAAATTTGCCTCAGTAACATGCCACATGCAATGTCGCGACACCATCACAGCGGATTCTCGCAGCCGAAACTGACAGGCTGGAAGAGAGACCCACAGGACACGGGTCCACATTCCAGACGAAGGCTTCGTCGTTCATACACGTGATGAAATTGTGCCACAAGACTTACGTGGCTGGTGTTGTCCTGGGATTCTCAGTAATCACCCAACTTATGTTTTGCTTTTTGTCTTCGAGTTTTATATATACATATATATTTCTTTATTTATTTATTTTATTGATTATGCCATTATAGTTGTTCTATTCCCCCCTTCATTCCCCTCTACCCTACCCCCCATCCCCATTACCCCCCTTTAGTTTATGTCCATGTGTCTCAAGTTCTTTAGATTCTATATTTCTCCTACTATTCTTACCCTCCCCCCATCTATTTTCTATCTACTGTCTATGCTACTTATTTTCTGTACCTTCTCCCCCCTTCTCCTCCCACTCCCCTGTTGCTAACCCTCCATGTGATCTTCATTTCTATGTTTCCGCTCCTGATCTAGCTGTCCTTTTAGTTTGCTTTCGTTTTAGGTGTGGTTGTTGATAACTGTGAGTTTGCTGTCCTTTCACTGTTCATGTTTTTTTAACTTCTTTTTCTTATTTCTTTATTTATTAATTAAATGTATTGGGGTGACATTGGTGAATGAGATCACACAGATTTCAAGGGTACAATTCTATGTCACGTCACCTGTAGATGGCGCTGTGTTCACCACCCAAGGTCAAATCTGCCTCCATCACCATTTATTTGGCCACCTTAACCCTTAACTGCTCCCCTCCCCCTTCCTGCTGGTAACCACCCCCACTGTGCTGTTGTCTGAGTCTGTGACTGTCTGTTTGCTTTTCCTCTTTTACGTTTACACTGCAGTTGGTGAACAACCATGCCGTATTTCCAGGTGTACGGCCCGAGATCAGACAGCTGTAGAACATACAAAGCCATCACCCCAGTGGGTCAAGCACCCGTCTGACACCCTCGGTAGTTATTGCAACAGTGGTGCTTCTGAATGACTGCAGAAGTGGGAGGACGATTCAGGCTGAATTCCCTGTCACTGAGGATTTAGTCTCCAAGTGCGGAATTTGTTCGGGGTTTTTTTAGTGTTTTTTGCCTCATTCCTCCAAGTTCATTTCAGTGGCCGCACGCAACTTGCCTGTCAGCATCGAGGCAGCAGGCTACCCCGCCCGTCCGCTTCCCATGCCACGGCCGGTGAGGCTGACGCTGTGCCGGGAGCCCGCGGTGACCGGGGGGTCCTTGTCTCTTTCAGAGCATCCCTCGGGTGTTCAGCAAATTCCCCATCAAGGAGGCTCGGAAGTCCTGTAACCAGAATAAGAACCGATACGTGGACATCCTTCCCTGTGAGCCGCCCTTGAGAGCGGGGTCGCCCCGGGGGCGGGCTGCTCGGTGACTCACTGTCGCGCTCACTGGCCTTCCTTTCCCTCGGACAGATGATTACAACCGTGTCGAGCTGTCAGAAATAAACGGTGACGCAGGGTCCAACTACATCAACGCCAGCTACATTGACGTGAGTACCAACTGCAGGGTCACTGCACGCCTGTGTCATTGGCCTTCCATCCCTCCTTGTCACGGCAAGATTTTAGAGCTGTTGCATGATGTCACTGCTCCAAACAACAAAATCACTAATGTACTTGTCATTTGCTCTGTGTGGCATAAGATTTTTCTCTGCAGACAAAGTGATACTAAGAATCAAAATACTCCTGGTCCCAGGATATTAGGCTGGGTGGTCTAGGCAGGGATTTCTCACCGGAGCCCACATTGGCTCTACCTGTGTGCATTGTCATTGTACAGGTGGGCAGTGGGGGGCTCTGGGTATTTAGTTGCCTAGTCCTGGTTTGAGGGGGGGAGGCCTGAGCTGGGACTCAGGCCCCTGCTGCCTGGCCCCACACCGCTGTGCGTCCAGGACACGGCACCGCCAGGTCAGCAGGGGGTTCTCCTGACCCGCATTGTCCGCTCACTCTGGTCATTCAAACACAAACACCATGTATGGGAATTTACCCAAAAATAGTTAAAAATGGGGTTTACTATATAATTGTTAGATGAGTAATACATGACACACACTGCAAATTTTTAAGCAGAATACATTTATAGAGAAACTGGAGAGAATATTTGTTTCACCCGCCTACCCTTTGACCCATGCCTTCATCCACCAGCTAGACTCCTACGTATCCACCCCAAGTACCTCTCTCTGGGAACATGAAAACTCTCAAATTCATTATTCTCTGCTTGATCCAAAAATGCTAACATACTATTCACACCTTTCTGGACCTTAATTTACCTAAAACCTTCTATGTTGGATATACAGCGTCCGGCAGAAGTAACACCTGCTTGAGTGTGGTTGGTGGGGGGATAATGTGGGTGTAATCATTTGTAGTTTTAATTTAAACCTTTCACCTAAAATGTCACCTGGTGTGCTTGAGGGTGACATTGGGATGTTACAGAATGACATGCTTACGATTTTCTAATAAAAAGATTTGGTAATAAAAGGGAGCATTATTTGTGCCGGACCTTGTATATAATATCATTATGAAGAGTCACTTTTCTTCAAGAAAAAGCAATTCAAATTAAGGGGCTTTTTTTTCTGTTTGTTTGTTTTGACCTACTCAAATATACAAACTTTTAGTGGAGCAGATGAAATGATCAAATGATGTGAGTATATTTAGCAGCTCCGCAACACATTGGTTTCCCAGGCCAAGCCTCACGAGCGTGGAGTGGGCGGCTTACAACCACAGAAACGCCTTCTTTCATGGCTGCAGCGGCTGGGGGTGCAAAACAAAGGGGTCAGCGGAATTATTATGCTCCCTTTGACTTTTTATTTTTACCAGAATTTAGATAGTCTTTGGGGGAGAAAACCCACTCTATTTTCTGTTCAAATATATATGGCAGTTGTGATACTAAGTTGTGATACTATATGGCATATGTGAACATAACACATATGTTTAGAGCCATGTACCTGGCCGGTTTTTGCAGGCTGGCATGGCGCAGCCCCACAGTGACTGCCTGTCACATAAGTGGATGCAGGAGTTGTCCTGTGTCACACGAAGGTTCAGGAAGTGACTGAAATTAATCATGGCATTTTTGTGGCCTGTGTGACTGGGCCTCATCCTTTTTTTTAAAATACATTTTATTGGTTATGCTAATTACAGTTGTCCCATTTTCCCCCTTTTATTCCCCTCCACCCTGTACCCCCTGTCTCCAGCATTCACCCCCTTAGTTCATGTCCATGAGTCATGCATATAAGTTCTTTGGCTTCTCCATTTCCTATACTATTCTTAACCTCCCCCTGTCTGTTTTCTACCTACCGATTATGCTACTTACTCCCTGCACTTTTCCCCCCACTCCCCCCCTCCCGTCCCCCACTGATAACCCTCCATGTGATCTCCATTTCTGTGATTCTGTTTCTATCCTAGTTGTTGGCTTAGTTTGCTTCTGTTTTTGATTTTTTAGGTTTGGTTGTTGGTAGTTGTGAGTTTGCTGTCCTTTCACTGTTCATATTTTTTATCTTCTTCTTTTTCTTAGATAAATCCCTTTAACATCTCATATAATAAGAGTTTGTAGATGATAACGTCCTTTAACTTGACCTTATCTGGGAAGCACTTTATCTGCCCTTCCATTCTAATTGAAAGCTTTGCTGGATAGAGCAATCTTGGATGTAGGTCCTTGCCTTTCATGACTTGGAATACTTCTTTCCAGCCCCTTCTTGTCTGTAAGGTTTCTTTTTTTTTTTTTTTTTTTTTGTAAAACACAGAAGAATACAGAAGAAAGTAGAAATTACTATAGCCTTTTCCTCTATCCTCTGGGATCCTTACAAATGCACATTTTAAAATGGGGGTTCTACTGTGTAGTTTGTATCTAGAGTTTTCAAGTGATGCTAAGCATTTTTCTAGTGCGACTAAGTATTGAAAATATTTTCAGTGACTACATAGGTTCCCATGGAATGGAGAGGTCAAATTTTTTTGACCACCCCTCTCATTTGGACAGTTAAGTTATTGATAGTTTTGTTTTGTTATATCTATGAATTAATACAGACTGGAGATTTAAGTGTTGAAACAAAAAAAGATGCCAGTTTAAGAGGCAGCCTTCTGTGTTTTGTAAGCATAGCTTGAAGAGTTTTTGAGAAAGCTGAAATCGTTAAGTAAGTTTTATTATTTTCATTTTGAAAGTAATGAAAATTACATTCATGTAAGAATTACAGAAAATTCGAAAGATATAAAAATGAAAATATACAACTGCTATTTTTGTTAAATCCATATGCAATATCTATTTAGATAGCTTTGTGGATTTAACTTAAAGGATTTAAAGAGGTGAGTTATAATTAAAAAGATTAGGGAGTAGTATCTGATGGGTGAGAAAACAGTTTGGTTTTTTTTGGGTGGTTTTTTTAAATTTCTTTCTTTTTTTTTTAAATTTTTTTATTGATTATGCTGTTACAGTTGTTCTATTCCCCCCTTCATTCCCCTCCACCCTACTCCCTCCTCCCCACCATTACCCCCTTTAGTTTATGACCATGTGTCTCAAGTTCTTTAGATTCTATATTTCCCATGCTATTCTTGCCCCCCCATCTATTTTCTATCTACTGTCTATGCTACTTATTTTCTGTACCTTCTCCCCCCCTCTCCTCCTTCCACTCCCCTGTTGAACCCTCCTTGAGATCTTCATTTCTATGTTTCCACTCCTGATCTAGCTGTCCTTTTAGTTTGCTTCCGTTTTAGGTGTGCTTGTTAATAACTGTGAGTTTGTTGTCCTTTCACTGTTCATGTTTCTTTAACTTCTTCTTCTTAGATAAGTCCCCTTAACATTTCATATAATAAGGGCTTGGTGATGATGAACTCCTTGAATTTGATCTTATCTGAGAAGCACTTTATCTGTCCTTCCATTCTAAATGAAAGTTTTGCTGGATAGAGCAATCTTGGTTGTAGGTCTTTGGATTTCATGACTTGGAATACCTCTTTCCAGCCTCTTCTTGCCTGGAAGGTATCTTTTGAGAAATCAGCTGACAGTCTGATGGGGACTCCTTTGTAGGTGACTGTCCCCTTAGCTCTTGCTGCTTCTAGGATTCTCTCCTTCATTTTAATTTTGGCTAATGTAATGATGATGTGCCTTGGTGTGTTCCTTCTTGAGTCCAACTTCTTTGGGACTCTCTGAGCTTCCTGGATTTCCTGGAAGTCTATTTCCTTTGCCAGATTGGGGAAATTCTCCTTTATTATTTGTTCAAATAACTTTTCTACTGGTGACTGTGCCTTTTCCCCTTCTGGAACCCCTATAATTTGGATGTTGGAGCATTTAAAGATGTCCTGGAGGTTCCTAAGACTCTCCTCATTTCTTGAATTCTTGCTTCTTGACTCTTTTCTGTTTGGCCATTATTTGCTTCCTTCTGGTCCACTCCATTGATTTGAGTCCCAGTTTCCTTTTCATTGCTATTGGTGTCCTGTGCAATTCCATTCATTTCAATTAGTTTCGCCTTCATATATTTGTCTAATTTGTGGCTATAATCCAGTTCTGTGAGGATCCTGATCACCAGTGTTTTAAACTGTGCGTCTGAGAGTTTTGCTATTTCTTCATCGCTTAGATTTATAGGTTCCGGGGCTTTGAGCTGTTCTTGAGCCATTTTTGGTCTGTTCGTGCCCTTTAAGTGTGAGGAACGGAGCCTTGGACTCCCAGGTCGCTGGGTTGTGACGCTGTATGTGGGGGCGTGGTCAGAGCGGGGAAATGGCGGCCCCCTCTGCTGTTTTGCACTGCTGGGTAGGAGCAGAGCCTTAGGTGGTTCACCTGGGCCGGGCCACTCAGAGTCGCTGGGTTATGACTCTGTATGTGCAGGTGGGGTCAGAGCAGGGAAATGGCGGCGCCCTCCACCGCTGCTTGCCGCTGGGGCTGCTGGCTCTCGTCCAATCGCCCACTCCCTCGCTTGTCTACCTGCGCACCAATGCGCGACCACAGTCAACCCGCAGCCCTGCTCCCTCGCTGTTTCCCTGCGGTCGCTCGCTGAGTTGCCCACCAGGTCCAACCCTGCGCCTGGATTCTGCGCGCGCCTGAGTCCGTCTGACGGAGTTTTCCTGTGCAACCCCGCTCCACCAGCTGCTGGTTTCGCCCCTTACTGGTCAGACTGAAGAATTTGTTGTTTACAGACTTCCAAAAAGTTCAATTTTCTGTGTTCTGGCTGTGTTTTCTGTTGCTAATATTTAGTTGTCTCTAAACTTGGTTGTGTGAGAAGGCACAGCGTCTCCACCTGTGCCTCCATCTTGGCGGAAGTCCAGTGTAAGGTCTCTTTTAAGAAATCCGCTGACAGTCTGATGGGAACTCCTTTGTAGGTGACTGTCTCCTTTTCTCTTGCGGTTTTTAAGATTTTCTCCTTCTCTTTGATCTTGGGTAACATAATTATGATGTGCCTTGGTGTGGTCCTCCTTGGGTCCAACTTCTTTGGGATTCTCTGAACTTTCTGCACTTCCTGGAAGTCTATTTCCTTTGCCAGATTGGGGAAGTTCTCCTTTATTATTTGTTCGAATAAGTTTTGAATTTCTTGCTCTTCCTCGTCTCCTTTTGGCACCCCTATGATTCAGATGCTGGAACATTTAAAGTTGTCCTGGAGGTTCCTAAGCCTCTCCTCATTTTTTGAATTCCTGTTTCTTCATTTTGTTCTGGTTGACTGTTTATTTCTTCCTTCTCGTCCAAACCATTGATTTGAGTCTGTTTCCTTGTTGGTTCCCTGTACCTTTTCCTTCATTTCACTTTTCATAGCCTTCACTTTTCCCTCTATTTTGTGACCAAATTCAACCAAGTCTGTGAGCATCCTAATCACCAGTGTTTTGAACTGTGCATCTGATAGGTTGGCTATGTTTTCATCACTTAGTGGTATTTTTTCTGGAGCTTTGATCTGTTCTTTCATTTGGGCCATTTTTTTTGTCTAGTCACACCTGTTACGTATAAGGGGTGGAGGCTTAGGTGCTCACGGGGCGGGGCAGCCCACGTCACTGGGTTGTGATGCTGTACGTGGGGGCGGGGTCCAAGACGGAACTATGGCGCTCAATTCTCTGCTGGTTTTCAGTCAGTTCCCCGGCTTCCCACAAGCAAACTGGGCCCTTCTGATGCCGATTTCCAGGTGGGTGGATTTGTGTACGTTCTAGGACCCTGTGGGTCTCTCCCACGAGCTCTGCTGTGAGGCTGGGCATTTCTCCTGCTGCTGCTGCTACCGCCACAGCTGTTTTCAATCAAGGGTTTGAGGCTTTATTTCCCTGCTGGAGCCCGGGATTGTGTGGTCTGTCTCGATCCTCGGTTGTTCCTCTTGTTTTATCTGCTCGCAAATGTGGGACTGCCCGGTCTGCTGGCCGCCACCTCGCCCGGTCCACCAGCCACCGCCTCGCCTGCCCGGGTCCTCCAGCTGCCGTGTGGCCGTGCCTTCTCGCCACCTGGCTGCCCCTCTCCGCCCCTCCTACTGGTCTGGGTGAACGTTTCTTCTTTAACTCCTTGGTTGTTGGACTTCCCTACAGTTCAATTTTCCTGCAGTTCTGGTTGGTTTTTGTTTTTAAATTTGTTGTTGTCCTTCTTTTGGTTGTGCGAGGAGGCACAGTGTGTCCACCGGCGGCTCCGTCTTGTGGGTTCCATTTTGTGGCAGAGTCTCTCTCTCTGCAGGGCTTTCCTGATTAATGAGCTAAATTGAAGGAATTCGGAAAACCTGGGAGAAATTAGCCCAGGATCATGACTGCCTTCGTAGCCCTTCTTCCCCTCGGTAGCAGGAGTAGGGAGAGCAGACCTTTGCAGATGATGAGGTGAACATTATGTACCACTTCTCTAGAACGGAGTCTAGGTAGGCGAGTGTAACCTCAGGACGACTTAGTAAAAGAAACTGAGGAACAGTCCCCAAAGTCACGACACGTCTGGTCAGGAGGCCTGAGTCGTGGCAGGTGGTGCGAGTCGACTCCTGTGAACTGCTGCGCCGCCGCAGCCGGGAAGGAAGCCTGGCTTCTCCAGGTTGTTCTGGGTGCAGAGCAAAGACAGACACATGGAGTCCTGACGATGGTTTGTTAATGCCACCTGACACCTTTAGCACAGTCAAATGCCCTATTGTGCCCCCTTTGAGATTGCAAATGCCCAGGGAAACCCACGGCCAAGAGGCAGGCAGCAGCTCTGGGGTGACTGCCTTCCACTCCCGATGGCAGCAGAGGGGCCCCTCGGGTTCCGTGAATGACTTGTTCCTTTGTGTGTGTTTTCAACAGGGTTTCAAAGAACCCAGGAAGTACATCGCTGCACAAGGTAACCTCCCTGGCTGTTCAGTGTCCTTCGGAAGCCTCGTTTTACAGCCCTTTAAAAAAGAGAGAGAGAGAGAGAGAATTCTTAGTTGGCATTTGTTCACCTCCTAGGTCCCAGGGATGAAACGGTTGGTGATTTCTGGAGGATGATCTGGGAACAGAAGGCCACGGTGATTGTCATGGTCACACGATGCGAGGAAGGGAACAGGGTAAGGACCCGGAAGGTTCTCGGAGCAGGAGCTGGGTTAGGAAAGGACGGTGTTGGGGAGCCTTTCCTAAGGCCACGCACACGTGTTCCACAACTAAAGGAGACGGCTCTCCATTCTACGCAGCGTGACACTCGACTGAGATTTCTCATACATGTACAGAAATAAAATCTCTGCACGTGTGCCTCTATGTACATGTGAATAAAGTTTAAACCTTCCTGATGGGCTCAAATGGGATTCCTATGTCTTGACGGTATTGTCGTTAGTTCAGCACAGTTCTCTTTTTAAAGATTTTATTTATTTATAGAGAGAGGGGAAAGGATGGAGAAAGAGAGGGAGAGAAACATTGATGTGAGACAGAAACACTGATCAGAAGCGTCGACCAGTGCCTCTCGTGCCCACCCCGAATGGGGACCGACCCACAGCCCAGGCCGGTGCCCTGACTGGGAATTGAACTGGTGACGTTTCGCTATGCAGGATGACACCCAACTCACTGAGCCACACGGGTCAGGGCGAGTTCCGCACATCTCTGAGCCAGTGTCACAGGTGCTTATGAATACTTGACGCAGAACTGACCTCAGGCAGACGGGGTCACTCACATAACGCGACTCTATAAGCAGGGAAAGCCCCCCCATGGGTCACCACAAACTGAGCCGCCGGCCACCAGGTCACTTTGCTGCCCTCCCTCATGAGGCAGCGACCCCCGTGCGGGGCGCCCTCTGCAAAGCAGGAGGAAGCTCCTTCTCAGGACCTGGTCACGGCAGACGGAAGCCATCTGGAGCTTCCATCTCCCATCGCAAGGCGTGCGTGGGTTTAAGGAAGAACAGATGGATATTTTGAGAATTTCCGTGACTTAGTTCCTATTTGAGTATTGCTGTCTAAAGAATGTGTAACAAACACACTTGTTTAAGTGGGAAGCTGGAATGACTGGTGGTTTCTGAACGACAGAACAAGTGCGCAGAGTATTGGCCGTCCATGGGCGAAGGCGCCCGGGAGTACGGAGACGTCCTCGTGAGGATCAGTGAGCACAAAACCTGCCCGGACTACATCATCCAGAAGTTCAGCATCACCAATGTGAGTGTGTCCCACTGCCTCCCTTTCATCTGTGTACCCTTCACCCCAAAATGCGACCATGGACTATTCGGTGTGAGGAGTTGAACTATACTTGGGAGAAACGATGTTTTCTGACCTGCAGGGGGGAAATTTGGGTGGGAAGACTATCCAAAGCCATCAGGGTCAAGATAAGTCACCGGTGAAAGTAAGGTTTGCTCAAGTGATATCAGAGCTATTTCTAACGCTGACTCATGAGGTACAAGGTAGAGTTCATGAAGTGTGTTGAATTGGTGACTGACTTTCTGAATGATGCAATGGTCTCTGTTCTCAGTGGGTTTATCACCAATATGGGGAGAATATCTATACCTAAGGCACGATTAGAGATTACTGCAAAAAGCACAAAGCTGTGCTTTGGAAAAGCACATTCGGAAAACTATCAGTGTGTTCTTAACGAGTAATTAGAAATGGAGGCCTTCACACGTGTGTGTGATTCCAGCTACAAAAAGTCTAGGACAGGCAGAGTCGTGGACAGAAAGCTGGTTAGCAATTGCTTTGGGACCGAGGGGGTGGAGCAGACTTTTTGAATGACAGCTAAGAAGTGAGGATTTTTCCGTGTGGGGGTGGGGTGGGGATATCCTGGAATTAGGTAGTGGTGATGACTTTACAACTCTGTTGATATAATTAAAAAATTACACTTTAAATGAATAAATTATGGTATGTGAAGGATATCTAAATAAATCTTAAAATTAGAGGTCTTTCCAGACCGGTTTGAAATTTTCTCTGAATTTCACTTATGAAAGAAGGGTTTTCAGTCATCTAAATTGTATTTCTTTATAGTCCAGATGTATCTTCTGCAATTAAAAAAAAAAACATTAATTGTGTACTTACCCCAAGGTCCTCCAAGGTTTCCCTGGTCTCACCAATTGTCACACCCACAGAAGGCTGTGGAAGACTCCCACCAATGGCTCGTGGTCGAATAAGTCACGAGGGCCCGAGCCCGTACACACGGGTAACATGTAGAGGTCAATGCCAATCTGGTTACCTTGACCAGTTGATGTCCCTGTTCTTGGTTAACTTACTCCCTGTCAGCAAAGTACAGCCAACCAGGTTCTGTTGTCTCTTCTGTTATGGAAACGTAGGTGGCCCCTCTTCCCCCCTGGTCAGAGAACCATGAATTCCACCCCTTCTCACGGTGCCTTGAAATGGGAACCAAACTGAGCCGTAATCCAGGCTGCCTGTCCTCAGTTCTCTGTTCACAGTTGACATTTCTAAGATGAGGGGGCCTGGGAAATAGAGTTTAATCTAACCATTGGCCAGACTTTCTGTGCGGGACAGGTGTCCTGTTCGCTGGCCCACGGAGCGGAAATATTTCAGTTGGTTGTGAGAAGGGCCTTGTGTTTGCACGCCCGCCCCCCACGGCCCCATGTCTCTGTGGGTGCCTGTGTGTGTGTGTGTGTTTGACGTGGTGGCAGGAAAGTTCGTGGCAATCTCAGCAACACTCAGGTCCCTCACTTAGCTTCCTGGTAAGTGGCTGCCGACGGGCTAGTGTGTGCCAGTCGTGTGTGACATCATGGTGACTGCTATTCGTTAGAGAAGAAGATGTAGCCACAACTGAAAAAACGTGCAGGGGGAGTTCTTCGTACTGGTTGCCCCTTTCTCTTATTTATGTCGGTGGTTGGTTTTGGAGAAAAAATAAACTCACGGAACATGTGATCTCTTGACTAGAAAAAGGAGAAGACGGCTGGAAGGGAGGTCACCCACATCCAGTTCACCAGCTGGCCAGACCACGGGGTGCCCGAGGACCCCCACCTGCTCCTCAAACTGCGCAGGAGGGTGAACGCCTTCAGCAACTTCTTCAGTGGCCCCATTGTGGTGCACTGCAGGTGAGGGGCTCCAGCCACGAGCCCCGGCCCCCGTGAGGGACACCCCCTGTGGGCAGTGGTTGTACTGGGGGCAGTCTGTGCGGAGAAGCTCAACCTCTTTTCTCTGCTTCACCCGTGTTGGCTTTTCCGCACCCGGCCCCACCATGGCCATGACCATGACCATGACCTGACTTGCTGCCCTGTTTCTGTGCCCAGTGCCGGCGTGGGGCGCACCGGCACCTACATCGGCATCGACGCCATGCTGGAGGGTCTGGAGGCCGAGAACAAGGTGGACGTGTACGGCTACGTGGTCAAGCTGCGGCGGCAGAGGTGCCTGATGGTGCAAGTCGAGGTCCGTTCTCACTCGCTGTTCTCGCTTTGGCTCCCTGACTTGGATTTTTGGGGGTGGAAGTGGGGGATCGTTAAGGAAACGCAAACTCTTCTCAATCTCAACCAGTGGGTGAACATCATTTTCACTTTAATTCCTGACAACTAAAGCGTGTGCTAAGCACCAACCCTGGAAGCATTTGCATTTGTGGCTGAGTGTACAGTGGAGGAAGATGACTGAAAAAAATATATTTTTAATAGTGTAATACCACCTACACATACCATAGTGGGAAAAGAATAAAAATACTGAAAGTCCATTTGGCAGCATCTCACAAAATGAAAACTAAGGAGACAGGATAGTACCGTGGTTAAGACCTTGCTTTGGGGAACTAGACCTCCCGTGTTCAAACCTTGCTCCTTTTTTTTTTTTTAATTTATTTATTTTTATTGATTATGCCATTACAGTTGTTCTATTTCCCTCCTTCATTCCCCTCCACCCTACTCCCTCCTCCCCACCATCCCCCCCTTTAGTTTATGACCACGTGTCTCAAGTTCTTTAGATTCTATATTTCCCATGCTATTCTTGCCCTCCCCCCTATCTATTTTCTACCTACCATCTATGCTACTTATTCTCTGTACCTTCTCCCCCCTTCCCCTCCTCCCACTCCCCTGTTGCTAATCCTCCTTGAGATCTTCATTTCCATGTTTCAAGGTTTATCTGGGAACAGTTCTGAAAGAAGCATCCTTCCCTCGGGTGGGATTCCAAAGTCTCACTTTGGGGGCTGTGAGTAAATATGTTTCAGACAAAAGTGGCTACGCACCAAGGGTCTAGTGTGGTTTTGAATAATTAACTGATTTTCCCAAGGGCACAGCTAAAGATCAAAAGGTACTCATCTCCCCGGGAGCAGGGCCAGTTCTCCCGGGGGATGGTGCTGTATTTGGCTTTCCCAGTGAAGGTCACAGCTCTGGCATGAACAGGGAGGGTCCTCAGAGCCCCTTTAACCCTCACTCCTCCGGACTGGGGCAGTCGTGTTCACACAAAACTTGCTCCTAATTCCTAGTACTGTGCATCCTTTTAAAAGTTGTAATGTACCCGTCCTTCATTTAATTCATCTGTGACATGGGGCTAGGGGCAGGATTCACCTTACAGAGTTAGGACAAACGGTGACTCAAGTAGGGCACTTAGACAAGTGCCCAGCACTTGCTTGGAGCCAGTAACTGTTAGGTGGTGGCTTTTAGTGACAACGTCCGCACTTGACTCCTCAATCCCACATGCACTGGAGGTTCCCAAGAGAAGCACTTACGAGGTCACAGCCGGAAACACACACTAGGGTGTTCACTGCATCCCGCGGCATTGGGACAGCTAGGAAGTTGGAAACACCCAAAGTGTCTATCAGTGGAGAAGTGGACTCTCCAGGAACCCGCCACACTGACCTTGACAGGAGTAACCTTGGTCTGTGCCCATTCATGTGGCAAGAACTCAGATGAAAACAGCAAATCAAGTCACCAGTGAAACAGTAGGACACAGCTAATGTAATTTTTAAGAAAACACACAAAAACACACAATGCTTATAGATACACAGCATCTAGTGTAGAAGTATAAACACTGATTGTTCACGGAGGGAAAAAAGAAAGTGTTTCATGTGGAAAAATACACAGAATTGAAGGGCACACCCAAACTCAGGGAACCAGAGGTGGGCAAAAGAGGCTTGAACTTGATCAGAAATGTGTCTCATATTCTAAAATATTATTTAAATGTGATAAAGTTCGGAGTTTCTGGGTTTGGCATATTGCATCTAAAAAACAAATTTCTCAGTTTTAAAAAGTTTTAGAAAACTTCTAAAAATGTGTTTTGTGGAATATAAACTTCCTTATTTCTCTCATATATGGGAAACTTATTAGTGTTCTATGTCAGTGATTTGACTTAATGACTCCGTAATAGTCACTGAAGGACATAACAGACATATGTATTTTTTAATTTTCAGGAATAAAGTAAAAGCTAGGCAGTCCCCAGTAGGGGTCTCATCTATTTAGCAAGCTATTTTTTTTTTCTGGAAAAAAAATCGAAGATGAAACTTGCTCACATTCCTAGGAAGTGTGAGAACCAACTCTCAGAATCTTTACACATTAGAGATAACTCTTTTCCATACGTTGTCCCAATATGAGCACAATTATGGGACTAAGTAATCTATTTAAAGGGGACTTATAAGACTGTGAGCCCTCGGTTAATCGTCTGTATTTTCCCCCGAAATCACAGGCGCAGTACATCCTGATCCATCAGGCCTTGGTGGAGTACAATCAGTTTGGGGAGACAGAGGTGGGCCTGGCTGAGCTACATCAGTACCTGTCCAACCTGAAGAAGCGGGACCCGCCCAGCGAGCCCTCTCCGCTGGAGGCGGAGTTCCAGGTACCAACCGCGGCACCGATGATGGCGGCCCTTACAGACACCCTTCACTGAGTGCTGTTCCCCACGGCTGTGGAGATCACAGGGTTGTTTTGTAGGCTTGCTGGCATGCAGAAATCTGATTCTGTGGCCAAGGATTTTAACCGCTCCCCATTAAGCGGGTTCGAGATGAAGTTAAAAGGAACAGCAGAGAGCCACCGCAGTGGCCCGCCGAAGGCCATGTAGCAGCCAGCCCTAAAAGTGCACCTGGTTCTGGTTTGTAGAGGAAGTCATTAGAGGGCTTTATGGCTCTTTAGGAAGTGGGGCTGGCTGGAGCCGAGGACGGAACTGAGAGAGAGAGACATGTGTCCCGACCCTTTTATGGGGCAATTACCCTGAAAGCCACCGCAAGGGGCCGTTCACTGCGATCCCCGAGTGTGGTGTGGTGATCTCCGAATGGCTCACTTCTCAAAAACACGTGTTGTAACTTCCCCCCTCACTTATGACTCCCAGTTTCCCAAACCCTTCTGGCAACAACCCAGTGGGTCCGTTCAGAGAGTTTCCCCCACCAGGAACATGCTTTTAATCAGCGGCGGAATCGTTGAAGGCTGTGGCTCAGAGGGGGGCCGAGGGTCAGGGGTGCCGCGACCACAGGCCAGGCAACCCCCGTGGGCCTGCCCCACGGGGAAGGAGAGGCCAAGGCGGCCTTCCCCTCGGGGTCTCCTTGTGCACTTCTTGCTCTTTTAGCTGATAAATCAACTCCAGTCAGCACCCTAACCCTTCTAAACAGCATGGGCACACACACTGTGTGGACGTGCTTAGGAATTTGATTGAAACCCTCGTACGCGAAGTCACTAAAAGAAAGAGCGAGTTGTTTCTCTAGACAAACGGGATCGAGTCTGTGCTGTGTGCCCAGTGCGGTTCTAGAGTCAAAGCGAGATGTGCGGGTGGGCTCAGGAGATGGGGTGGCCCGAGCCGGCTAGTGACCGTCACTCGGTGGGAGCAGCGAGACAACTCCATCTGGGCACCAGAGACAGACGACACACGGTGACAGCAGAGATGTAGGTCAGCTGGCACACTGGTGATGGGACACTGAGGCAGTTCTTACGCAATTGCCTTTTCTTTCTCAAGAAAACAGGGATGGAGGCCATCAGTTGTGAGTTTAGGGGACGGGAGCAAGCGGAGCACAGAAGAGCTCATGCCCGAGGTGGGGGGAGGGTGTAAAATGTCTGCAGTGGGAAAGCAATCTCACTAAGGCACAGGGAGCAGGGTTTTGTGCCGGAAGGTTTGGTTGGATCACTGGAGATTTAGGGTCATGGTTTAAGGAGAGGTCAGTCGGTGGCTCTGGGGACAGGTGCTGTGTATGCAGAAAGCTGGGTTGACTCCATCAAGGATTTCTGGCGTGACCCTTTGACTGTCAGGAGACAAAGGATTGGAGGGTGTTTGCAAAGGGATGATAGCCGGGGGGTGGTAAGGAGCGAGTAGCCGCGGAAGGACACAAGGCACACAGAGAAAGTAGCCAGGACGACTTCCGATCTCTGGGTGGGAGACAGTAGAGTAAGTGCCTGGGAGGAACAGAGGTGATTTGCAGTGACGGCGATGGTTGGAACCATAGTGTTCAAGGTGGTGCAGTGTCTGCAGAAAACCCACCAAGGCAGAGCAGAAAATGCACGGCCGCCGAGCAGAGGGACCGGCCGTGGGAGCGAGGAAGCTCAGCAGTGAAGGCCGGAGGGCTGGGTCGGGCATCCTTGTCCATGTCGAGTGTCCGAGACCCATGACCGGCAACGAGGAGCGGGCACGCAGTTAGCCCAGGGTAACGCCAGGGGAGGTGGCGCGCTCCAAAATGGGGACCTGACAGTCCCGCTGAAGGCGCAGGAAGTAGCAGGGTGACAGGAGGGTCACAGCTGGGCTTTGGAAGGACACAGGAGCAGAAATGGTTCCCAAGCAGGGGCGGGAAGCACACAGCACACGCACTTTTTCTCCAATCTGTGGGCAAGTGGGGCAGGAGGGCGACATCAGCTTTTTCAAAAAGCAGCTACATTCTTAGCGTCGTCTTCAAGGGAAGCCAGCTTTCAGTGGTACCCTGACCCCAACACTCCGAGAAATAAGTACAAGTACAAAGGCAAAGGCACTGGCTGGTGGCCAGGACGCAGATGGCAAGACAGACGAGCTCCGTTCATGTGGACAGCCGTCACGTGAGGAAGGACAGTGGGCTGGCCGACACAAAGAAAAGCAGGAGGGCTGAGAGGGTCTCGGGTAGGAAGGACAGGCTTGCTGACGGTCACACGTTGAGTGGAGGGACAGCCGTCCGGGAAGGAGGAAATAAACGACGGACCGACTCTGCAGGGTGCGCCGAGCGCTCTGTGAATGCTCCCTCCGGGGCGTGTGTTTCCGATCATTTAAAACCCTTCACCTTGGCTTTGTGCAATATGGATAATATCAGCGTGTGTGGGGTGCTCGCGCCTTGCACAAGAGCAAACTGTGCCACGTTGCTAGCCAGGAGCTCGTAGGGAAGAACCACGTTGTTTTATAATTGTGTGTATTTAGTTCAAACTTACCGTGTCAAAAGTACTAAATGCCGGAGCAACTAAGAGAGAAAATTCAGAGGCAAACTTTGAAATTATGAACTATAAACTACAGGGAATGTGTGTACATTTCCTAGAAGTGGATGGAAAACGTTTCTTTAGGCCCCACGACAAAGTTCTGAGCCAATATACGCGTATGCAAAGGTGTTTACTCTTCTCTTTGGTCTCCCCCCAGAGACTCCCTACGTACAGGGGCTGGAGAACACAGCACACTGGGAACCAGGAAGAAAACAAGAGCAAGAACAGGATCTCCTCCGTCGTCCCATGTATGTAGTCTGTTGTTTTATTTTGGTTGTGTCCGATGAGCTCAACCTAAGGGAGCTTGTGGATTTAACAAGACATGCATGCACACACATGGTCTGGAAGCACATTTATCATTGGGTTGGTACGGAGAGCAGTCGACGGACTATTAAAACCAGGTTAAAGCGAATGCTTTGACCCCGAACACTCACGGAGGACTTGGGAGGATAGACTGTACTGTTTTCTTTCCTCCAGTTATTTCAGGGAAGGGCCCTCCATCCGTCTGTCTCAGCTCTGCTGCGGGCTGTGGACAGACAGCCACATACGTCTGTCCCCTCCCGGGCTTCTCTTTCTCCCGCCTTATCTCGGGGTTGAACGTGGGTGATGAGGGCCTGGCTGCCTGCCCATCACTCCATTTCACAGGTCAAAGTGCACACAATTTTCACGGCTTGATCTCTGCCATGTAAGCTGATTGGTAGAAGCACATCGGGACGGCTATAGTTTTATTCAGATGGGCACACCAAAATTCACCTGGACGGAATATAACCCTGGCTAATAAGCTAGACAACCAAATAAATCGGATCGGCGCATGCTGACCTGGCTCATTTCTGGAGAATTCTTTACGAACTCTCCATAGTAGTTTAAAATACAAAATTGACAGTGATGTAGCTAATGAGATAATTTGATCGGGTTATTAAATTTTTTAAATTGAGATACTGAGGAATTACGGACTACATTTTCTTATTAAAATTTATGGGAGATACTGATTTCATTAAGATGTTACTTAAAAGTTAATAGAATATAATAGAAAAAAGTTCTTACCTAAATGATGTATTTTATTAACATATGTATTTTTAAAATTTATATCAAGCACAATGCTGATATTCCCCGGAACACTAAAGTATAGGTATCAAGGACTGAATACTCACGTGGAAAGTTATGACATCTATTTTGTGTTTAATACCGAATTATGTCCCGGGTGCGTTTCTGGAACCCCTGTGGGCCCTTCTTTTTCTGAGACTTCTCTGTGGTGATGGGCTAACCCACAAGCACTGAGTTTCCCGGAGGACCGGATGCCCTGTCAATCAATGCATTGACATGCCGTCACCTCGAAAGCATGTCCTGATCCCCACGTGACGATGGGGCAGAGCGGTGCCACGCGGGAGGGGGACTCACTGCTGCTTCGCTCTGCGCAGACGACTTCAACAGGGTGCAGCTGAGACAGGAGCTGGACTTCAGCAAGGAGAGCGAGCAGGAGTCGGACGAGTCCTCGGACGACGACAGCGACGCCGACGAGAACAGCAGATACATCAACGCCTCCTTCGTGACGGTGGGTGGCGCGTCCCGTCCCCAGAGCCCGGGGCCAGCCCTGCAAACACCCCTGCGGCCAACAAGGCCATTCTTAGGTCATTTTACCACAGAATGATGAGCGTGGCCCCGACTGTGTGTTGACAGACATGGAGGTTTCCATTCTTTTTTCTTCTTTAAAGTTTATTCTTTTTGTTGAATTTACTAGGGCGATGTTAGTTAACAAAATTATATAGGCGTCAGTTTTTAATGCTATACTTTAATTGAAAGGCAAAGGTATTTAAATAAAATCTAACGAGTTGATACAAAGTAAGACAATGCTATTAGTTGCTATTTAGGACACATACAACTGTAATCATATTAATTTGAAAAATAACATTTGAACAAGATACACGTGTTTGAATGTTTCTATTTACTCACATACCCAAGTTGTAAGCAAATCCAAGTCTGCATTTTTGCACATTTAAAAACATTTAATTCTGATGATCTGAGCTACGAGGTCCATCTGCACCACACACCCTTTTGTGGTGCGGTAAATCCGAACAGGAAACCTTTAGTCGGTCAGCACACACATTTTACATACATGCTAGGTATGTACTAAGCATGTATGCAGATTTTCCTAAAACACACATTCACAAAATATTGATGAAATGATGAGCTATATCACAAGAGCATATAGACAGCAATGAAGTAGAACACAATGAAGATAATTTGAAAGGCCAGTGCAATTTCCTTTTACAGTCATGCTCACCTTTCTAGGAAATAAAAGACATCTTTAAGAGGGATAGTTGGTGGTTGTATAAGACGTGTTTTCAACGTGACTTCACAGCTCGGTGTCACCATTACCTAGATAAGGACTTTCCGAACATGTCATGCTGTTTCTCAGGCCTCAGAATCTCGCTGGTTTTAGGATTGATATTAAGCAGCCCCAATTCCTGGATGGCGTTCTCGGCACCCTCACCAGGCAGCGGCAGTAACAGAGACCCACCTTTTGTTTTTAAAGAGTTACTGGAAACCGGATGTGATGATCGCTGCCCAGGGGCCGCTGAAGGAGACCACCGGGGACTTCTGGCAGATGGTCCTCCAGAGAAGAGTCAAGGTTATCGTGATGCTGACAGACCTGAAGAACGGAGACCAGGTGTGCACTGGTGGTAGTCTTTCACTCTCGCCTCTCTGGCATACAATGCCGTCCGCCACCCACGCGCTGGCTCCCGGCATCTGTGTCTGGGTTCAGAGTCTCCAGTCCTGCCCGCCGCTCCCAGAACATCTAAGGCCAACCCAGGGTCACCTCGCTAAACTGACAAGCAGCAGCCCCATTCTCCTTATTGTCCTCAGTGCAAAAACCAAACTCCTCGGTCTACGATTTAAGACCTTCAATGACCTGGCCACATCTCGCTTCCCACTTTCCTCTCGTGTTTTCATTTTCTCTACTCCCCACTCCGGACGAGTAGGTTGCTGGCAGAAACCAGTCCCCAGTCCTGGTTGGACTGATGGACCGACGTCCCCGTCTCCTGCTGGCCCCTCCCTCCCCAGTCTGACCTCACTCTGCTGGCCGGGCAGACCTCCGAGTCCTGCCTTCTCGGGGTCCACATTGTGCTCACTGGCATAAACTTCTACAGTCGGAGGTGAAGCTAAGACCTGACTTGACCTTCTACTTAATGCCCGTGATGTGCCCTTGATTCTCTCCATTGTCCCAAGTCACCAATATTTCCGTTTGTCACCACGCACTGTATCTGACACACAGGTTGAAGTTCATCGAATGAACAATCTCATAGGCATGTGAATATATCATACGCCTTCTCTTTTTTCCCTAGTCCCCTACCCTGGACATACACAGTTATTTTTTAATGTTTTTTTCTCTTTCTCAAAAAGAGATGCCTGTTTACATTGCAGCCATCTCCTCCTCCATCTCAATGGTAAAGGCTGGGAAACAATGGGGGCGCAGGCGGGAATGCCTGTTGGACTCCGCAGCTGTGGGCGGTAGCTGATGGGGACCTGTCCGCAGAGAGGACACACCTTTGGGGTTCACCTGCTCTTCAGCCTGACCATTTAGACAGATACTCGGTCACCTTCTGTGAAGCCGCCTGCGGGGCTGGTCCCCCAGCCACGGAGACGAGCTGCAAAGATGCAGAACTTCCCTCGAGGGGCCGTGGGCGGGGGCAGCAAGACTGAAGCTGTTGCTGCACCACAGCCCACGGCACCTCGGCCCATGAACTATGGAGAGGTGACAATGGGGTGTGGACGGGAGGAAGGACCTCCAAGACCCTCTGCGGAGGGGACAGGGCTGTTCCCATGGTGTCCTGGCCACCTCGATCCGCACCAGGAAACACCAGATGTGTTGAGTGGGTCTCCTTAGACTTAAAGCAGACGTCAGAGTTTGACGGGCAGCTCGCAATTTCAGAACACCGTTAGCAGTTTTAGTTTAACAAGACAGAGGGGGCAGGCGCAGAGGACACGGGTGTGGACGTGGTTGCCTCCTGTCCCCCCCCCTCAGGAGGCCTGCGCGCAGTACTGGGGAGAAGGCAAGCAAACGCACGGAGACGTGGAAGTCAACCTGAAAGACACCGCCCAGTCCTCTGCTTACACCCTCCGCATCTTCGAGCTGAGACACTCCAAGGTACGGTGGCAGTGTCCAGGGCGTGTCCCTCGGGTGTAAACATGCGCATGAATGAAGGCAAAGCGACTGCCCATAGAATGTTTTCAGAATGAAGTGTTCGAATGGCTCAAACCCCAGTACTTGTGAAGAAAACGTGACTGCCCTGGGGGTCAGTCTGCCGGGCTGACACTCACCCGGGCCCGTGTCCCCTTCGCTTCTGGTTGCAGCGGAAAGAGCCCCAGACCGTGTACCAGTACCAGTTCCAGCACTGGCGGGCGGCCGAGCTCCCGGAGGAACCCAAGGAGCTGGTGTCGATGATCCAGGCTCTCAAGCAGAAGCTGCTCATGCGGGGCCCCGGCGACGGGCACAGACACCACAGGAGCGTGCCGCTGCTGGTGCACTGCAGGTGGGTGTGGCCGGGTCGGCGTGCCCGGGGGCGCCGGCGGCCCTCTGTTATGTCCAACAGCGTAGCTGTTGTAGAAATACCATGGCCATGACTAGATCACAGGGCAGTATGTCTAGGCTGTGGCTTCCTCAGTTCCAGTGTCACGTCACCTTGGAGGCCCCAGTGCCCACCTAACACTGACCACCGTGCACTGGCCTGTGTCCAGAACCCGTTAATGGCTGAATGGACGGGGGTATGAACAGACAGATGGGTGCGATGTCCGATTCACGCTTATGTAAACAGCGGCATGAACAGAATCCAGAGGAGTGAAGGCTTCGTCTTCAGTGAACATAGGATACGTGTGAACTGCAATCTTAATTCTCAGTGACTGTGATTTGAAAGCTACCAGTTGATTTTCTAAACTGACCCCTGAGGCAAAGATGTTAACAATAAGCGATGCTCCCTTTTATTAGTGAGCTAGGCGGACCCTTGACTTTCATCTGCAATAGATGCCTGCACATCCACCTTAAATAAGAGATTTTGGAAGAAGGCAGCATCCTAAAACACGTTTCCACAAAAATAGTGCAGACCCAGTGAAGGGCTTTCGGAATTCTTCAAAAAGCCGCCTCATTATTGTAATCGGAACTGCAGAGTCTAGACTGAGCCCTGAGAGTCCCTTCTTGCCATTTATGTGAGTTTTCCAAGGTGCCGTGGCCACGGAGGGAAAAGCCAAAGGAGCGTGGTTCAGGGTTTAAAACAGCATGTTTGTCTCGGGATGTGGCTGAACACCAGCGATAGGCTCCTGAGTTGTGTGCAATAATCAATAACTCTGCCAGTAATAAATTCTTTAAGTGAGATCTTCAGAATAATGTAACATACCTCTTCCAGGGGAGCAAACCATTTCATTGCCCTCTTTCTCATGAATCATGCCGCCAGATGCACTTTCCGATGGACGCAGAAGTGTGAACATTTGTGGGAAGCAGTAGAAAGACGGAGAAAAAAGGGAAAGGCGTGGGGTCTGGTCACCGACCAAACGCCGGTTCCAGCACTTCCGGCCGCATCAGTCTCTGGCTGTGACTTTACGTCCCAAACACTTGGCGTCCTCACCCATCAAACTGGCACCATCCTGTTCACCCCAACAACTTCCGATGTTAATAAAAGTACACGATAATCTGAAAAGTACTAAACAGAACGAAAGTATATTTTTCAGCCTAAGACAAATAGGTTTTGAACTACAGGATTCGTATATTTTCCCCCAGAATGTACTTAGCACCAATGTTTGGTTCTTAGGAGACTGGGATAAAAATAACACAATGAGCATGTAGTGAAGAACAAATTCTGTCTCCTTGTCCATTTTTAGTCTGCTGGCCTTTTTTCCTGTAAACTGTGAAATTAGCTTTAAAAACCGCTTCTCCCTTGTGCAGAGATGGATCTCAGCAGACAGGAGTGTTCTGTGCTTTGTTAAATCTCCTGGAAAGTGCGGAGACAGAAGATGTGATTGATGTTTTCCAAGTGGTGAAATCTCTACGCAAAGCCAGGCCGGCCATGGTCTCTACATTTGTAAGTCGATCTCACCTTTGCTTTTAACACGGTTCGTGTGGTTATTATGACGATTTCTCCTCCTCTCCTATTTGATCTCCCATTTTCATGCAGTGATTCACATTGAATTATTGTTGACGGAAGAGACCTAATTAGAGTTTGGGGAGGAGGACCACTTATTTAAATGCTTGTGAATCTTGCTCCCCTCCCCTCTTTAAAAAAATTATTTTTAGAGAGAGGGCAAGGGTGAGAGGGAGAGGGAAAGAAACATCAGTGTGTGGTTGCCTCTGCAGGGCCCCCACTAGGAACCTAGCCCACAACCCAGGTATGTGGCCTGACTGGGAATTGAACTGGCGACCCTTTGCTTTTCAGGCCAGCAATCAACCCACTGAGCCACACCAGCCAGGGCTCCCTCCTTTAATCTTCTATCAGTTTTCGAGTTTCCAGAAGAACAGCAGCAAGGAGCCAGGCCTCTCCAGACCCAGGCTGGGAACTGTCCTAACCTGCTTATTTACTAGACAAGGCACAAGGCCAGCTCAGACTCGAGGGGCAGGGAAATTCCTCTTGTCGAGAGGGACGGCCTGCTCAGTCACGTGGCACAGAGGTGTGGGGACAGACAGGGTGGTCCATGTGGCAGTTTTGTGTTCAGTCTATGTGTACCCTCTATAAGCGGTTGTAACCACAGATGACAGTCTGGGAATTAATTCATAACTGGTCACTAATTAATTAGCAAACTAACCTCCCGCAAATATATGCGGCTTTCATTATTTGGCACCGAGCGTGTGTGTGTGTTGATTGTCTAAGTGTATCGAGGGCCTGCTACGTACTCCTGCCATTAAGAGATTCCCTGTTTCGCACACCAAGGCACATCATCATTACATTAGCCAAGATTAAAATGAAGGAGAGAGCCCTGGCTGGTGTAGCTCAGTGGATTGAGCACGGGCCTGCGAACCAGACAATCGCGGTTCGATTCCCAGTCAGGGCACATGCCGGGGTTGCAGGCTGGTTCCCTGCAGGCCATTTCCCAGCAGGGGATGCACGAAAGGCAACCATACATTGATGTTTCACTCCCTCTCTCCTTCCCTTCCCCTCTAAAGATAAATAAATAAAAACTCTTTATTTAAAAAAAAAATGAAGGAGAAAATCCTAGAGCTAAGGGGACAGTCACCTACAAAGGAGTCCCCATCAGACTGTCAGCGGATTTCTCAAAAGAGATCTTACAGGCAAGAAGGGGCTGGAAAGAAGTATTCCAAGTCATGAAATCCAAAGACCTACAACCAAGATTGCTCTATCCAGCAAAACTTTCATTTAGAATGGAAGGACAGATAAAGTGCTTCTCAGATAAGATCAAATTCAAGGAGTTCATCATCACCAAGCCCTTATTATATGAAATGTTAAAGGGACTTATCTAAGAAAAAGAAGTTAAAAAAACATGAACAGTGAAAGGACAACAAACTCAGTTATTAACAACCACATCTAAAACAAAAGCAAACTAAGAGGACAGCTAGATCAGGAGTGGAAACATAGAAATGAAGATCTCAAGGAGGGTTAGCAACAGAGGAGGGGGAGAAGGGGGGAGAAGGTACAGAAAATAAGTAGCATAGACAGTAGATAGAAAATAGATAGGGGGAAGGTAAGAATAGTATGGGAAATATAGAATCTAAAGGACTTGAGACACATGGTCATAAACTAAAGGGGGGATAATGGTGGGGACAGGGGGGTAGGGTGGAGGGGAATGAAGGGGAGGAATAGAACAACTAACAGCATAATCAATAAAAAATATAAATAAATAAAAAATAAAACAAACAAAAAAGAGATTCCCTGTTTCGTGTGGAGAAAAGGCAGAATTTGGTCCACAATGTGGTGAGTGAAATTGACAGAGAAAGGCTCAGAAGAACCAGAATGAGGACACCATGTAACCTGGGGTCATCAGGGTGGGCTTCCTGAAGGAGGGGACTCTGGTGCTAGGTCATGCATAGGTGCTAGCCAAGAGATTAGGTGCAAAACTTGGCATCGTGAGTGAAGGTTTGGGACTGAGACCGTGCGGCCCGTCTGGTGAGGCTACGGGAACAGGTCGGAGAGTCCCCCGCAGCCCACCCTCTCGAAGTGTCCCAACAGGAAGCCATGTCAGCTGTTCTGTCAAAACCTAGAAGGCCGGGTCTCTGTACCCAGGACTTCCGGGGGTCCCCAGTTCGTCCCCACTCCTTCTCATCGGCTGTAAAACCCCAGGGGCACCCCCCCCCCCCACTGACCTCTCGCTTCTCTCCTTCCCCAGGAGCAATACCAGTTCCTGTACGACATCATCGCCAGCATCTACCCTGCCCAGACCAGGCAGGTGAAGAAGAGCGCCGACCGGGAGGATAAGATTGAGTTCGATAACGAGGTGGACCAAACCCAACAGGAGGCGAATTCCACGTGCAGCCTGGAGAAGACTCAGGAAGGAGGCAAAGAGGAGGGAGCCCCCAAACCTGCCCGCGGCACCGAGGAGCCAGAACACTCTGCCAACGGCCCGGCAAGCCCAGCCATGACCCAGAGCACATAGGACCAGCCGTGGTGAAGGGGGGGGGGTGGCTCAGAACTGTCCACAAAATGTTATTTCTATTTTTCTACAAGTAGGGCACAACATAGAGATACAGTGGATTAACCAGGTGGTGGGGGACCAACTTTTCCGGCAAGTTTCTGGGGTTTTTTTTGTTTACTATGGAAAATATTTAAGACCCTTTTGTACAGTGTCATGCTTATTTTAGAAGTTTGCCTATCACTCAGCAAAAAGTAACTTCTCTGTAGCCTTTACATGTATGTGGGTTTGGGTGTGCACGCATGAGAGAGAGGGAATGCAGATTTTAAGGGAATCTAACAGTTCCTGAAAACCTTTGCCTTTTTGTTGTTTTTTTTTTTTTTTTTTTTAAGAACAAGGAAATGTTTTTTGCTGGAAGCTTGTCCTTAAAGCATCTGTTTTCTGAAGTCACAAATCCTGTGTGGGCTGCGGAAGCCGGCCGTGCGCGTTTCGGGAACCGCCACCAGGGGGCCCCCCTGTTGCAGGCACACACATCTCGCCGTTTTACTGCTGCAGACAGACAGGAAGTAGTAAGCGTGGGTGCAGCAGGAAAAGCCACCCAAATCAGCCTGGGGAACCTTTTAGTCCATATGTTAGCAGTTAGTGCAGTCTCTTTGCAAGCTTATTTCACCTAATTTAAAAACTTCAAGCTTGTCTTGGTTTCTTTACATGTTTACCTTTTGCACCCGGAGTTATTCTTTGTATGATATGTGACATTTGTTGGTGGATACTTTTGGCCCAGAGTCATATGTTTGTTAGGATTGAATTTAAATAAACATCTTTAAACAAATACAGCCTATATTAAATCCATAGAATAAAAATAGAATTGTGCAAATGTAAGTGTGCTAAATAATTACCTATGAAACTTAATACAGCTATTTTCATGGAATAAAACATTGATATGAGACGTAAGATTTTGCAATGTATGTGTATTTTCCATGTTAAAGTTTCTCTGAAGTGCATTCGCTTTGAATATTTCAAATGCTTAGACCACTTATCTCAGGAAATGATACCAATAATCATAATAAAATTTAACCACTATCTTCTCTTGTCCATAACAGTGTTACATGTTCACAGATGAGCTATATAAGTACACAATAAAGTATGAATGTTATGCAATTAATTTTTATAGAACAATTGTACAGGTCTCAATTTTAAAGAAACATAGTTTAGTAATTGTTTAGGCGGGTTTGGTTTTCTGTATCTTCACTCTCCCGATTTTATCAATCTTAGAAAAATTTTTATTCTATTTGACACGGTCTTATAATAGGTTCCTGACTGATTTTAAATGTCTTAGCCACACATCATCAGTTGCTTGTCATTCAACTCACGTTCATCTGGTGTTCATCTTTCTAATATTTTATTATATACACAAAATTAGCAATTACTCCTTACATTATGGTTTCCCACCTTGTGAACATAAACTTCAGAGTGAAGCAAGTTTCTGATTAGTGTTGACTCACTATCTCTTCTCTGAGAAGATGGGGGTCGGGGATCATCCATTATGAGCTAACGAGCACCAGAGAGAAAATGTTTTACGTCTCTTATTGGTGGTTCCAAGTCTCCTGCCTTGGTTTCTCCAGTGGACACGGGACCAGTTGCTACTCACTGGGTGGTGTTGTTAAAATGTGTAATCAGACATGCCACTTCCACCAAGATGGAGGCACAGGTGGAGACGCCGTGCTTCCTCACACAACCAAGTTTAGAGACAACTAAATAATAGCAACAGAAAACACAGCCAGAACACAGAAAATTGAACTTTTCGGAAGTCTGATAACAACAAATTCTTCAGCCTGACCGGTAAGAGGGGCGAAACCAGCACCTGGCAGAGCGGGGTAGCACAGGAAAACTCGGTCAGACGGACTCAGGTGCGCGGAATTCAGGTGCAGGGTTGGACCTGGTGGGCAACTCACCAAACAATCTCAGGAAAAGAGCGAGGGAGCAGGGCTGCGGGTTGACTGCGGTCGCGCATTCGTGTGTGGATAGACAAGAGAGGGAGTGGGGGATTGGACGAGAGCCAGCAGCCCCAACGGCAAGCAGCAGTGGAGGGCGCCGCCATTTCCCTGCTCTGACCCCACCTCCACATACAGCTTCATAATCCAGCCACCTAAGTGGCCCTGCCCCGGTGAACAACCTAAGGCTCTGCTCCTTACCCAGCTGCAAGAAACAGCAGAGGGGGCCGCCATTTCCCCGCCTCCACATACAGCGTCACAATCCAGAGACCTAAGTGGCCCTGCCCCAATGAACAACCTAAGGCTCTGCTCTTCACCCAGCTGCGAGAAATAGCAGAGGGGGCCACCATTTCCCTGCTCTGATCCCGCCTCCACATACTGAGTCACAACCCAGCGACCTGGGAGTCCAAGGCTCCGCTCCTCATACTTAACGGGCACAAACAGACCAAAAATGGCTCAAGAAGATCTCAAAGCCCCAGAGCCTATAAATCTAAGCAATGAAGAAATAGCAAAACTCTCAGACGCACAGTTTAAAACACTGGTGATCAGGATCCTCACAGAACTGGTTGATTATAGCCACAAATTAGACAAACATATGAAGGCAAAACTAATTGAAATGAATGAAATTGCACAGGACACCAATAGCGATGAAAAGGAAACTGGGACTCAAATCAATGGAGTGGACCAGAAGAAAGCAAATAATGGCCAAACAGAAGAGAGTCAAGAAGCAAGAATTCAAAGAAATGAGGAGAGTCTTAGGAACCTCCAGGACATCTTTAAACGCTCCAACATCTGAATTATAGGGGTACCAGAAGGGGGAAAGGGACAGCCACCAGTGGCTTAACTTATTTCCACCAGTGGAAAACTTATTTGAACAAATAATAAAGGAGAATTTCCCCAAGCTGGCAAAGGAAATAGACTTCCAGGAAATCCAGGAAGCTCAGAGAGTACCAAAGAAGTTGGACCCAAGAAGGAACACTCCAAGGCACATCATCATTACATTAGCCAAAATTAAAATGAAGGAGAGAATCCTAGAAGCAGCAAGAGCTAAGGGGACAGTCACCTACAAAGGAGTCCCCATCAGACTGTCAGATGATTTCTCAAAAGAGACCTTACAGGCAAGAAGGGGCTGGAAAGAGGTATTCCAAGTCATGAAATCCAAAGACCTACAACCAAGATTGCTCTATCCAGCAAAACTTTCATTTAGAATGGAAGGACAGATACAGTGCTTCTCAGATAAGATCAAATTCAAGGAGTTCATCATCACCAAGCCCTTATTATATGAAATGTTAAAGGGACTTATCGAAGAAAAAGAAGTTAAAGAAACATGAACAGTGTAAGGACAACGAACTCACAGTTATTAACAACCGCACCTAAAATGAAAGCAAACTAAAAGGACAGCTAGATCAGGAATGGAAACATAGAAATGAAGATCACATGGAGGGTTAGCAACAGGGGAGTGGGAGGAGGAGAAGGGGGGAGAAGGTACAGAAAATAAGTAGCATAGACAGTAGATAGAAAATAGATGGGGGGGCAAGAATAGCATGGGAAATATAGAATCTAAAGGACTTGAGACACATGGTCATAAACTAAAGGGGGTAATGGTGGGGATGGGGGGTAGGGTGGAGGGGAATGAAAGGGGGAATAGAACAACTGTAACAGCGTAATCAATAAAAAAATTTTAAAAAAATAAAAATAAAAAATAAATTTAAAAAAACGAGGAGAGTCTTAGGAACCTCCAGGACATCTTTAAATGCTCCAACATTCGAATTATAGGGGTACCAGAAGGGAGAAAGGAACAGCCACCAGTGGAAAACTTATTTGAAAACTTATTTGAAAAAAAAAACTTATTTGAAAAAATAGTAAAAAATAAAAAATCTTTGCCAGATTTCCTTATTTTCAATCTGGCAAAGGAAATAGACTTCCAGGAAGTCCAGGAAGCTCAGAGAGTACCAAAGAAGTTGGACCCAAGAAGAAGCACACCAAGGCACATCATAATTATATTAGCCAAGATTAAAATGAAGGAGGGGGTTTCAAGATGGCGGTGGACTAGGACGGAGTAGATACCAGTTCCTAGTACAAAAGAGACAGAAACCTATCCGATCGGAGGAGGTGAGGCCAGCAAGCCAGCAGTTGCCAAGCATATATGAAAATAAGAGACCAGAAACCTCATCGGTCACGGAGGAACCAGACGGTAGGGAGACAGCAGCGGTACAGTAGTCTCTGGGACGGAGCAGGGAGAAACAGCCGGTGCAGGGTAGGGGAACCAGCGCCCTGTGGCGAGAGCCCAACGGCTCCTGGGACAGCCTTCAGTGCCCGGAGGGCTCCCTCCCTGGGATTTTTCTGCCGGGCAGGCTGAGTGGCCCAGGCAAAGAGGTGTGGAAGAAACTTCAGCCTGCGCGCAAGTTAGGGAACTAGTCGCTCCACACGCAGTGGGTCTGGGCAAGTGCCTGAGGGCGCCTAGGCCAACGTTCAGCGCCCAGAAAGCTCCCTCCCTAGGATTTTTGGACCCGGACCGGCCAAGAGACCCAACCAGAGGGGAGCAGAGGAGATTTCAGCCTGCACACAGTTCTGGGTCCAGCACCCGGCGTGGTGCTGCTACATCCCTAGGGTTTTGTTTTTTTGTTTTTTTTTTTTTGCCAGAGGATGGCCAGGGGACCCAGACAAACACAGGAGCAGAAGGGATACACACCACGCAGCGTGCCATGACGAGCACACAGAGTTTCTAGGTCTGCGCCCAGTCCTCAGATCGGCTCCCGGCTTCCAGTCTACCCCCCTCAGACTATCTGGAAGCCCGGGACGCTGAGGGGTCCTGGGAAAAGACCTGAGACCCTCAACCCCCTCCCTTTCTGGCCAAGCAAGGTGGGGGGCCAGGAGAGACTTGTTTGATAGAGTTTACAGAGAGGGTGCGGAGGACAAAGGGCCCCAACCAAAGACTCTGTGGTTGCCAGCCCAGGAGAACTCAGAGGTGCAGCCTGGGGCTCTGAATCCAGTAGACACTGCAGCCTGGTCTGCTTCACACCCAGCTTGGCAGCGAGCCCAGGACTGGGCAGAGGGTCTGGGGCCTCCCAACTGAACGGGGGCAGGCCTGTGCTCAATCCCAAGGGAACCAGGCAACTAGGCCTGTGCAGGTGCCTGCAAACACAGCAAACCAGACTATGGCAGTAACCCCTGGGAGGGGAGCGCTGCAAGAAAGTCCTAGTTCCCCATTGCAGGGAGCTGGGGGAGAGGCGCCAAGTGTCTGGATCCTGAGAGGGGCTGGCTGAAAAAATCACAACAATCGACCCTCAGCCAACTGCAACCAGAAAAACCGGTTCGGCTAGTTTGAAGCCAACAAGTGACATTCCTTTTTCTGAGGTTGTTTTTGAGAGATCATTTTTGTGCGTTTTTTGTTTTTTGTTTT